TAAAAAAATGTGTCAAAGTAAATAGATAAAGCATAATTTTAAAATCTGTGTAAAATAAAAATAAAAATTTTGATATTTTATTTGTTCTTCTATTTATTACTGCTTTATGCAAGTATGTTGATCTGGGATGAGATGATCTATATCATCTTCATTTAATAGCAATCAGCATTTGAGGAGTAAAAAGTGGAAAATGCCTAATCCTAGTGATTATTTAAAAAGTTTTTCAAGATCTTTGAGCATTTTAAGCTTTGAAGTTTTTGTTTAGCAAAACAGGAAGTAAAGTAAAGTCACAAAAGTTAGAAAATTTTTTCGAAAAATGTACCTAAAATTGCAATAATGTCAATTCAAGCTTTGAAAAAACTCATGTCAAGTTAATTAAGGTAGCTCTATTAGCACGTAAAATTTTACATCGGTAACTGCATTTCTGAGGGCTGCAGTACTGCTATTTATTCTGGATTAACAGTGGCAGGTTTCTTTAGCTTTAATCTCCGTATAATTTAGAGCCTGCAGTGTTTTCATTACAGAAAAAAAATGGGAGAGAATTTCTCACGCTTTCTCAAAAACAGGGTGAGATTTCAAAAAGTTAAGTGAGATTTCTAAAAATTACAAAAACACGAATAGACTTGGAAAAAAAATATTTCTTTAATTGTAATAAATTTTTAACATCTTCTAATTTCTAAACCATTGAACATTGGATATTTTTGCGGCATTATCATATGGAAAACGTTCTGTATCTACTTTTTCATTAGCTATTCTCATTAGGTTTACTCAAATGCTTACCAATCGATCTGTTACGATATTTTGCTTTAATTCGGTTTGGGGGCTAAATAACCTTGCAACAGATGCTGTACTATTCGGAATCACTAATTAAATTTGTAGCATTGTGCACACACTTTCCTATCCTCTACATCTGCCAGCATAGATTCTTCAATTATTTCTGTTATGGAATAGTGAAGTTGTTTGAAGTTATTTCCATGTTCATACTCTTTGTTAGGTCTTCCAGATTAGTTTTCACAGACTTAAACTTTTACAAATTGCTCTAAATTGTCGATGAGGGAGTTTGGTAATTCATTAACAGCGAAAAATAGAGATACTTTAAACAACTTATTATAAAGAACTCACTTTTTTCTCAAGACTTGTCGTAGTTGTTTTCATGTCTTTTTCAAAATGGCGGAAGACTACATTTTTTTCTAAAATTCAAGAGATTCGTGCATTTTAAAATTGATAAATTCAGTGAGAGAACTTCTCGCGTTAATCATTTCTTAATGTGAGAAAAGAAAAACATATGCGAGATTCTCGTGTTCTCGCGCTGTAGTGAAAACACTGCCTGGCAAGTTTTACTCAAATAAAATTGTCTCACTGCTTGATTCTAGAGTCTCCTATTTCGTTAATTGAATTCGAAATTACAAGTTAACATAAACAACGCTCACCACATAATCTGTATAAATCTCTCTAATCTGTATAAAGCTCTTTTAAACAACAGTGAAACAACCAAACAACCTATTCAAATTATAGGGTATTACACTTACAAGGTATTAGATTATCGAGTATTTAACAAGGCTTAAAAAATACACGTCCGAACATTTTTTTGAATGAAAATTAATGAAAACCTACGAATTCAATCAGTATCAATCTGTAGAAAAAAATGGCATTGGCAGTATTATGGCTGCATCACTTTTAATTATAAATCAAACGTGTTTTAAGAAATTAACAGTAAAGTATTTATAATAATAATAAACTAGAGCTTGACCGTATTTACGCATATTTTGATTCAAGCATTTTAACTATTAATTTAAAGAAACTCATAATGACAGAATCTTCCTCATTTCCTAGAAAGACAACCCAACAACAGGAAATATGAATATTAAAAAGGAACAAATTTTAAACAAACTTCCCATTGTGATTTATTCAACTCCTTTATTTATTATTTATTTATGCACAGCTATCAGGATAAACATTTTTTAAATAAAATAATAAACATTACTAAGGAAATGAAATAGTATAGTAAGTTAACTTTGTTTTATAAATTCTATTGTTTTTTAAATTTAATTCTGCAACAATTAGGTTAATCAAGTCAGTTCGATTCTCTTTCCTATTCTTGTTTGGTATTTTTTATCTGTTCCGTCACGAATCCTAATAACTTTCGTCAAAACGGTACTTTATTCTTTACCAGAATTCGACATCAATAGTTTTTAATGACTCTCAAAGAATGTAATCAATAGTTTGATGACATCGATAATAGATATGAAATTTATTGCTTATAATGACTCGGATAAATTGCTATCAATAATTTAATAATATCGATAATAGTTTTATAATCTATCTATAATTTATAATGACTCCGATAGAATCTATCAACACTAGCTCATAATGTCACCGATGGAATGTAATCAATAGTTTATTGACAATGATAATAGACTTTTAATCTATTGATAGTTTATAATGACTGTGATAAAATTTAATAAATTGTTTATTGACAATGATAATAGTCTTATAATATATTGATAGTTTATAATGACTCTGATAAAACTTAATAAACTGTTTAATGACATTGATAACAACCTGATAATTTATGGATAGTTTATAATGTCGCCGATCTCATAGAATGTAAACAATAATTTAATGACATCTATAATAGCTTTATATTCTATATAGTTTATAATAACTTCGATAGAATGTAATAAATCAATATAATAGGTTACTTTAAATGAAATAAAAAAAAATTGAATCTTTCATAAACAATGCAAAATAATCTTATACAGTTACTATTGTTAATTTCCTCACAATTTTTAAAAATCAACTTTCAAATTCTTACTTTTTGTAAATATTCATTTGAATACTTTTCCATCAGTGTATTATTTTCGTGCTTACCCAAACTGGAAATTTATATATTTAAAATGTAAGCAAACAGATGCATTACAATTCCTACATTAAATCAACGTTTTCTCAAAATGTGATTGTTCACATGTATTTACAGAAACAAAATTCATTTCACATGATTTCTCAGAAACTACACTAATTTTAACTTCGATTGATTGACTGATGTGAATTTCTGGCATAAGAGCCATATTTTGGCTATACCGAGACTAAAACTAGGCATGTATAGTAACCTGGTTAAAATTTAGAAAACTCAGCTAAAATTAAAGGAGAAACTTAAATATATCTGAAATATCTTGTGTGAATCGGGTTACGTTACGGGTGAAATCGAGTTACGTTATAACGCTGAAATTATTACTGTATATTAATTGCGCATAATTAAATATTCAGAGATGAGCATTAAATTCATTAAGTATTTTTATAAGACTGTTGATAATGTAACGTAGAATTGCAATCATGCAGTATTGTTCAATCAATAGTTTTGTTTTGTTTTGAAGGTAAAATAAAAAATCTGTACAGGTCAAGTTTTCTCCTCAATATATGTAAAAAAGTTCATTTTGTCTCCATAAAAATTTAAAGTCCTTATGGTTAAATGTTTTTGAGAAAAAGATGTAGTTATTTTTACATTGTCTTAGATCCAACAGAAAGGATTTCATCATTGTCAGTATGTGAAAAAATGACTTCCGTTTGGAAGAAATCAATGTTCCTTTACATACCGGTAGTAGGTTATTAAATACCAGTATAAATTTGGTGAAAACCTTTTCAGTAGGTTATATGTTTAAATAACCCTCTTTAAATTCACGTCTTTTATTTCTTTACATTGTGATCTTTAATTTTAAACAAACATTTTTGCATTCAACATATAATGAAATGATAAAAAAAGCTAGCAAATCAACAATACGAAGCCTTTATTTGTGTTTAGTAAGGCTTTTTTTCGGTGGCTCTGTAGTGACATAAAATGATAAGTTTTCGGGAATAATAATGTTTTCACAAATGGTGTGAGTTAGCAAGAGTTACTCATGCATGACTGTTAGATCAAATTTGACCTATCTTTTGCCAGCGCCCACTATTTTTATTCTGAAAGTAGCGTAAAACGTCAGTATGGATTAAAGCTTCAGTTTTGAGGAGATGAAAATCGTTTGTGGTCTATTTTTTTTAATATTTGAAAACTTACTCCTATGCTGTATCATCTAGACTTATAAAAATTTCTAAAAAATATGAATAAGGCATTGATTTCGATAATTTTCTTCTAGGTGGAAAAATGACGACAAACAGATGGTTTTTAAAAAAAGCTTAATAATTTTTTAAATATTTTAGTCAGTTGTCCACTCTAAAGCCTTACTGCATGATAACATATACAGTAATATATACATATACCGCTTAAACTCTGAACAGCTAGATTCCTCGTTGGGAGTACATAAGAACTGCCCAACGAAGCGTTCCTGTACAATCCATAGTTTACGAGAAAAATACGGAAAACAAAGTATGACGTCACTGCCGGTGCAAGAGAAAACACTTTATTGAACACTAGCCGCCAGGGGCTGCCAGCTGTCCCCCACGCTAAAGGTTTTCATAAATAAAGTTTTTTAAAACATAGCAGGAAATCTGAAGATTAGTGGACAATTAAAGTGTTCCTGTCCGGCAATTTTGTCTTCATATCCAGTTCTGCTGCAGATGTGTTATAGCTCTTGAGGATGCTTGAAGATATAACTTTGCTATGGTAACCTAACCTATAATATAACTATCAGGTGGAGACTTGTTTTTTTTCTCTTTTTTTTAAAAAAAAGGCCCCAGAAATTGTAAAAGCATACAAAAGTTGCTTTCGAAATCATCATTGGACAATAGCTGAAAATTAAAACGCAGTTAATAACATATTTAAGAAACAGCGATAAAATAAAACTTGTGTCAGTCAGCATACAGATAGTATATAATTCTTCCTATTCTTTATAAACAATATTTTTAGTTTTTCCATTTGGTGCCAATAAATATAAGTTTCTTTCATCACCAACTCTTGAGCAGCCAACATAAAGCTGTCCATGTGAAAAGCAGGGCTTCTGCAAGTCAAGACCAACGACTTTTAAAGATTGTCCGTGAGATTTATTTATACTCATCGCAAAACTAAGTCAAACAGGAAACTGAAGTCGTTTAAACTGAAATGGATTGTCTGAAGATATGATGGGGATGCGAGGAATAAGCACACTATTTCCTGTTGACTGTCCTGTTATAATCATCGCTTCAATAACAATAGGCATCAATTTTTTCACAATCAATCTTGTTCCATTACACAATGCAGGTGGATCCAAATTTCTTAAAAGCATAATTGGTGCTCCAATTTTCAATTCTAATTTATGTGCAGGCACTCCAGGTGGTTCCAATGAGTTCAAAAATTCTGTCGGATAGTTGACAACTTGATCTATTTCCATGACAGCGTCCATCGACTTGTAAATTTCCAGAGCACCAGGTAATTTTTTTAAAAGTTTGTTATTTATCACGTTAACAATATCATTTGTTGGAGAAAGGATAGCTCTTTCACATAGCCATTGAGGGTTGCAGTAATTTTCATGAATATTAGGAAAAACCATTTCTTTGAGTTCGTCGGTTGTAGCAACACGATTTCCAATATTTTTCACATCTATAAGCCCTTCTTTATCGCCACTAATATCACCATTTCCAAGTCTTAGAAGATTGTTGGCAAATTCCTGAGCAAAGACTTCTCCTGTTAAATGAACTCGCANACAAAAGTTAAACTTTTCTCCACTTTGATAAATGTAAACTAATGCGAACCTTACAATTAAATTATTAATTCCTTCGTATATTATTGGTTTAAGTTGTCGAAAATTAATATTTCAATTGTAAGGTTCGCATTAGTTTACATTTATAAGAGTGGAGAAAAGTATATGCATTTTTTAATAGTTTTTTGAATATGGCTCTTTGAAGACGAAAAAGCATAGATTTTCTTACAAAATGACTGATAACTAAAAAACTAAACCAAATTTTTGAAAAAGAAAAAAAATTACTTCTTCATTATGTCAAAACACAATTATGTGCCGAGTTTCGTGCCGAGTTTCGTGCCTGGGCGAGGCTTCTGGGGTGATATATTTTGATTACAGACAGACAGACAAACAGACATACACGCAGCCGCGTTTATTATTCTGTATAGATATCAACAGCAGTATACTATGCAGAATTTAAAGCAGATGTAAGATTTTAACATTTTAAACATTATCGTCTGGAGAGATATGCAAATACTGTTCTTGATATGTCCAATAAAGTGTTTTTTTCTTGCACCGGCAGTGACGTCATACTTTGTTTTTCGTATTTTTCTCGTAAACGATGGATCGTACAGGAACGCTTCTTTGGACAGTTTTTATGTACTCCCAACGAGGAATCTAGCTGTGCAGAGTTTATGCAGTCGTTTTGGGACACCCTGTATATATTACACATGTATATAGAGGAAACAGTTTAAGACACATGAAACATTTCATAATAAATTTAGCAAGAAAACTTGAACTTTAATATTATAATATAAGGAGACAATATTGGGGTATTTGAAAAATTTATTTGAGAAAAAATACAAAAAGATCAAAATGAATAATTAAAGAAGGTAAATTAGAGTTGTGTTGTCCATAAAAATAACTATCCGGGTTCTTCGTAAAAGTTTCACTAAGATTAAAGTTTATTAAAGATTCTTTATTGTCTTGTTGTCACTAGATAAATTTTCACATGGAAAACAGCGAAAATTTTATTTCCGAAATTGTGAAAATATGGTAGTAAAACAATTAAATAGCTTAACTTGCTTTCGGAAGGAGTAAAAAAATCCATATGACAACCGTGATTTACAAATAGTTGCCTCGTTTTTTTTTTGCATAAAGGTAAGTCAATACACACTATCAAGTGTTTTATTTTTAGATTAGTCCACTGGTTTGTCATCTATAGTGTCAGATCACTCGAAGTTTCTCATATTGCCTTACTGCAAAAAGAAAAACTTTCACGCGATGATGATTAAAACCATAATTCCCATACTGCTGCTTCCCCCTATATTTTGGGAGTCAAAAATCCGAATCCGTCGAAAAAAGGTTTGTTTATTCAGAAAAAGTGCGTTTTTGTGTTTGATTTCCCAACTTAAAAAAAAAACTTTATAAAAAAAGTGTTACAGAAGAAATAATGCTTAAGCAAATAAACGAATTTCATTATGATTCTAAAAGTGTCAAAAATGAGTAAATTTAGAATTTTATTACTGAACATCTTATCAAAAAAATAAAAAAAAAAAACGAAAGAAAAAGGAGAATGGGTTTTGCCCATGAAATCTCATTCTGATCAGAAACGAATTTCATGACGGGAAGGAACGGTTTTTTTTTCAGCATGGACAATCTTCATTGCGTCATAACTCTCGGGGAGAACCGAGTTAGCCCGTTATTGATTAGTCAAATCTTCAAAATGCAACACATGGCGATCCGATGACCATTTTTGTGAAAAATGAACACAAACCGTTCAAATATTAAATGTCTTCATCTTTATTTCTCAACAGATAATATGAAGAAAAAAAATGCTCAGTCCAATAAAACAAAGCTTAAAAAAAGTTATATCTAACTACTGAGGAGTTTTTTTTTCCAAATTATAAAAACTTATATATTATAAAACTATAAAGTTATACTTATGAAACTATAAAGTATAAATGTTTTACCTTATACTGAATACTTAGCGATAAAATAACAATAAATGTAGCAGATAATAAACAAAATAATGCATGTACATATTTGTGCTGTCTCTATCATAAAATACAGCTTTATTTCAGTATCTTTGATGATAATAACTGTTATTTGATTGTTCCCAGCATACAATGACTGACATTTAATATTTGATGGAAATAGTAAAAGGAAATAAATTTTAAGCCATTAAATAATAAGATTAACATTTAAATAGAGAATCTTTAGTTAAAAAAGTAGTAAAATAATTCAGATATGAATAGAATATGATTATTTTCTTCCCCAATATAGTTTCGAGCTTAAGATTGACCTTGCATGTCTAGTAAAGGTTTTACGCTTTAAGATAAATTCCTATCATACCAAAAGACGTCCATCTGCATAACCAATTCCGTTTTATTAATCCTAAAAATAACTAGTACAAATAAGAATGCATTGCTATAAAAAGTAATATTCCAGATATTAGTTAAACTATAAAAATCTTTCATCATCATTCCGCTAATCTTCGCTTTTTTCTCAATGTTACTTCTATTATTTTTTCAACAAAAGAATTACATAAATTACAGACCCCGCAATTTACCCGCAACACAGCTTGACTCGGGGACTTTTTGGAAAATGAAGACGATAATTATAATTCTAAGCGCATATGTGCTACACCTCCTCGAAGAAAGAACATAAGAACGAGCATAGACTGCACAATAGGCACGGCGATAGGAGAAGAACGTCACAACGTCAGGACTGCAAAACTGCGCAGTGGGGGATTAAAAAAAATGTCACAACATTCGAACTGTCAGATTTCTCGTTAATGGTAACCCGTGAGAAGGCACTCTCTGATCTATGAACAATGGCGAGTCTATATATTATTTGTGTTCTTAAGGTTGTATTTCGAAGACAATCGTTTCATGAAATACGCCTTTTTGCGAAGAATATGCTGTTTTCAAAATCATAATTTTCTTGAACAGTTATTTTTGACTTTTAGGTTTAGTTTAGCCAGCGCTTTTTGTGCCGGTTCTGAAAAGGGCACAAATTAATATAAAGGAAAGTCACAGTTTTGTGAAGAAAAAAAAAGAATTTGTGATATGATTTTAGAGTACTTAAAAAAAAACAAATTCCTCCGATGCTGCATATTTGAGTTCATAACAGTTTACAAATTGTGAGAATTACTCAATGTTATCTTTCCATCAGGTGGAAAACCTCGCCAAAATTTCGAACTTTAAAAAACTTTTAATTTTTTTTTCTCTTTCAAGCCTAGATAATTCTTCACGGCACTATGATACACAGTTTAAAATTATAATTTTTGTCTCTAGTGTATGGTACTTAAAGTGTGGCTTTTTGATTGCTCTTGGGAAAAAAAACTGCCAATGCTTGTATTATTCACCAGAAAAAAGTGATTGGATAACAGAATGATTAAAGAATGTGTGCGCCGTCTAATAAATGATTTCAATAATTGAGATTTTGTGATACTTTCTAATAGACAAACAAAAAAAGTAGACAAACATAAAAAAAAATCTTCCTATTTTCATTATTGAACAACATTTAATGGAACTGATGTGCTACTATAACGCAGAATTAAACACACTCTTTTTTTAAATGGCGATAGGAGAATGAATTTTCATTAGTGGATAAGAGAATCATTTTCTGATCCATTTAAGTATGGATAAGAGAATGAACATTATTAGTATAGGAAGCTGAGGTAGATTTCTATTTTAGCGTTGTTACCAACTTAGAAGCCATTACTGTGACATTATTGAGTTCAACGCTATGATCATCATTTTTAAAAAGCGCTATTGTTGATGTTTTTAGTGTTAATATTATACTATATATAAGCATACTATTTTCAGAAATATTATGGTATTATAATATTGGATCGGGACTGTACAGGTGACCGAGCAATTATTTCTGAATTATTCTATCTGAGTTCTTCTCACTTGCTGGCCGATTTCTATACTGTTCTTGTTTACTTCGCCATATCTATATCTATCCCGTATACTTCGCCAATAGCAGTTAGTAGGCTTTTTTTAAAAAAAAACCTTCCCTTTTTATTTTAAACTAAAACTAAACTAAACTCAGCGGTGCGACAGCCCATAGAGGGCCAAGGCCTACTGTGCCCATCTCAGTTTTCTTGACCTTGGGCTCTGGGGTGCAGGAGCAGATGTTCCGGTCAGGTGATCAGCCTTACGCGGAATCCTCAGTGTTTAGTTCCCAAGCATGCTTGGTACTCATTTATCGACCTACTGAAGGGATGAAAGGCTGAGTCAACCTTGCCCGGCCCGAAGATCGAACCAGGAACCTGTGCCACGACAGCGCGAAGCACTACCGCTCAGCCACCGGGCGTCATTTATTTTAAAAGCGTTCCCAAAATCACGCGTTTTTAGATCTAAACGTAAAATGATCAACAACATCTATTAAAACTTAAATATCAGCCCATCAATATCGTTGCTAAAATATAACAAAGCTAATCAATATGTTTTTTTAACACTTTTGTTCATTGGTCTACGTTTAGACTGTATCACAATTCTTTTAAAATACTCTAAAAAAGTTTTTCATTTTCTAACACAAGAATTAAAGTGCACAAAATAAGTGAAGAATTCCCACAACAACCCGTGACCGACATAATAGTTATTGTGATGTAGTCAGAATTGTGCATATATTACCCTTACCGCCCACATAAGATCGTATTCAATTATCTGAAGCTGCATGAGCTTCAAGAGGGTTGAGTCCTTTCAAAATGACAGCTCGGTGCCTTCGATAACTGATACATCGGCATTGAGCAAGTTTATTTTATTTTAGAACAGCCGTTGAATAGTCGACCCAATTCTTCGTTTACGACAACTAATGTTCAACTCCATAGTCTTGTAATTTTGAACCCAATCCAGAAGACAAGGGAACTCCAGGATCAAGTATTGGGAGAAATTAGCCTTCGTGGAGGACTTTTTTGATGGAACTAACCCACATTTGCATTACATGAAGAGGAAAACCACGAAAACCTCCCGCGGTTAGCCTGACGGCAGAAGGACTCTAACCCCTAATCCTTCTACCACTGAGGATATTTTACGTCAGCACAGTGGTCGGTGGAAGCCGAATGCGGAATTCGTATCGACCAGCCCATTTCCGGGATTCGGACCCAGTTCACCTCATTGGGAGAAGAGCGCTCTATCCTCCGAGCCACCACGGTTCGCATTGAACTAATGAAAAAAATTTCACATTTTGGAATAAACTGGTTAAAAGACGTTTTCCAATTTTTGTTATTAAGTTGAAAAGTTTCAAACTTTTTTCTCCCGTTAAGAAACTGAGTTGGCTTATTAAAACCTATTAAATGACAGTTATAAAATTGGTTTGATAAGAATAAATCTTACAAGTTAGTTTAATCAAGTTAGTTAGTTAATAAATCTTTCAAGATAGTTTCAAAAGTTAAAAATATTGAATTCAAAACATTTCAATTGTTGGTTAAAAATCATTTCAATTTTTGGCTATGAATTTGAACAGGTTTAAAAACCATTTCATCTGCTGGTGGCAAAACTGGATTTGTGAAAAGAAAGTCTTTAAGTAGTTGATTATAAAACTATGGTAGTTTAAAAACAACTTACAAATGTTGGCCATAAAATTGAACTATAATTAACTTGTTCATAACGAGCCAATTGGATTATATTCATTTTTATAATCAACTATTCCTCAATAGTTGATTATGAAAATGAAATTTCCTACATTCATACATTCAAATATATTTCATACATTACTTTCTTCTCCCTTTCTTTTTTTGGGCATGTTTTACATTTTTACTTTTAATGTCAAATGAGGATCATATAAAAAAGTGTTATTTTTAAACATCCTTTCTGTAATAAAAAAAGAATGAGTAACGATGAAATAAAAAAGAAAGATAAAGAATAAATAAAAAGGAAAATCAATCAATTCCATTATCAATCAAGTAATCATAATTTTATAACGCAGAGACAAAGCTGGACAAACAGTCAGAAATCAATGTAATAAGTAGGCTGTCACAGTAAAATCAGTTATGCCATTTTGCAACGTTATTTTCCGTCATGCATATTATATAAATGCTAAGTGAAACACACATTCCATAATAATTCAATGACATAAATCAATTTAATAGATTTTATCGCTTAAGTGAAAATAAATTGCGGTTACTAAATCCAGTTCTCTATCATGATTTCGTTCAGTATATCCGTAATTCCATTTAAATCTAAAATTTTATTTGCGTTGCTCTTATTCCTGAGGTTTCAGCTGGTCGTGAAAAAGTATAAAAATCACTTATTCGCATTTTTGATCTCTCTTGCTAAAATTGCTTTTCATGTTTTAAGATATGTTCTACTTCTTTTACTTATAATATCTTCTAAGGTAAGTACATTTATAAATATTACTCAAATAATTTTAATTGCTAAGAATAACTCAAATAATTTTAATTGTTGGGTGGTGGAATTGTAGCTGTATGGCAAGAACATGGAAAGCTGAATTTAATTTTAGAATACTGTTGCATGCAAATTTTAGAATAATCATCGGAATTCTTCATTTTGTTGACTCGGTTTATTACAGCCTAATATCGACAACAGCAAGAACAAAATCAGTTTGATTTTTGAAATGAAAAACTGTCCAAAAAATTAGAACAAACTGTAACTATTAAAAAAATCGAAAGATAAAGAGCTACAATTTACCGAATTTACGTATTTTATAAATATTTGTTTGGTTTGAAATACGAATCAGTTTGTAATACTTCGAAATTCTCTAAATTTTTAAAACTTAAACTTAATAAAACTTATCTTAACATGTATTATTTAATCTATAATTTTATTGCACAATTTTTTTCAGCTTATTAAAGTGCCATCAAGATGCATTGTTTATTTATCTTTGTTGCATTCTTCTCATTTCTTGCAATCTGTTTTTCACAAGATCAAGAGTAAGTGCCTCTTTAACGTATATTTGTTAACAAAACCTTTGCCATGCTTGGTATTACAATAACAATTTGGTATAAATAAACAATTTAGTATGTTATTAGCTAGATCTCCCTATGTTCACTGTCATTCTCCAACCCTCCTAGGTTTCTTCACAATCTTATATGTTTGCTTTACAAGCCTTCACTCGCTATTAAGTTAAACCCATTTGAAATGTGTTCTAGCGAAAAATGATAAAATCCCAAATAACTTTTTAAAATCTTTGAAGCTCATTCTTCATTAAAATTTTTAGTTGATAAATTATTAAAATTAAAAACTTTAAATAAACATAAAGGACATGCAATAGCGAAGCTTACAGACAAAAAGCAGAAGTTATGCTTTCAAAAAACAATTACTATTAAAGATTTGCAACTTTGTTAAAAACACAATTTAATCCCAACACAATTTTAACACACATCTTTATAAAACTTATCAATTTTACTGAATTTTATCTATATAACTTGAACTAGAAACAGATTTAGAATTCAAATTTTTTAAAAAACTTGTTTTCTTTTATTAAATTTTGCTGAAGATCAAAATAATTTTCAGCATATTGAAAGTTAACTGTATTTAATTTAATCTAATCTTTGTTTCATTAAATAAATTGAATATCGTTAAAATAAATTAAAAATCTATAAAATTTATCTCTTTATTTAATTCAATCTTTAATAAAATTTAATTAAATAAAGAAATTTAGGATAAATCATTATAATTCTCATCATATTAAAAATCATCTTTATTTAACGCCTGCTACTTAGTAAGACAGATTATTGTTAAAAAATTTTTATCGAACTCACAATCCTTAAAATTTAATGCATTATTTAATATTATCTTGACAATCTAGCGTCTAATATACCAGACATTATTTCGTCCAGGAAATTTTATTCTGGGTATAGCTCAAAATGCGTGTTTAGAAAAATAGGCATACCTCAAAATAAGTATTTAGAAAAATAGACATAGTTCAAAATAAGTGTTTAGAAAAATAGACATAGCTCAACATAAGTGTTTAGAAAAATAGACAGAGCTCATAACGCGTGTTTACGAAAACGCGCACATCCAAAATTACAATTTTTAATATTAAATTTAAATTAACTATCTAAATACTAATTTAAAAATAAAATTAAAATACTAATTTAAAAAATAAAACTAAAATACTAATTTAAAAAATAAAATTAAAACATTAATTATAAAAAATATATAATTATTGATTTAAGCAAAAATACAACATAACATAATGCATTTACTTGGATACATTTATACAATTTTTTATTCAAAAAAGAAACATTTTCATAAAAGAAGTTAGAAAAGTGTGATCAAATGCTATGTCCATTTTTTTGAAAAAAAAATATGCCCTTTTTCTTACACACGCATTTTGATCTACGTCTAAATTCTTAAACACGCATTTTGAACTCTGTTAATTTTCTTAAACATGCATTTCGAGCTGCGTCCATTTTCTTAAACACGCATTTCGAGCTGCGTCCATTTTCTTAAACACACATCTTAAGTTTGGACAATTTTCTCAAACGCATATTTTGAGCTATATCTAGATTAAAAAAAAGGTCATCGACGATGTGGTACAATTTCTTTCTCTAAAAAAGTAGTGCTTTAAGATTTTTTGCCTGTTCGTAAGTGACTGCTTATGAAAAAATTAGATTTATGCTCGTTGATATGAGTTTTTAATAACAAAAAATATAAGAAATATAAGACGTTCGAATCCAATAACATTATAGACTGTTTTCTGACTGTCTACTAGTAATAAATATTTTACTATTTAATACTAGTAGATATTGTTTCATGACAAATATGTATGGAAATGCTCTATAAAAGTATTCTACGAGATGCAAAAAATGCTAAAAATTAAAATTTATTATTTTTATGTAAGAGTAAAAAATAAATAAAAACGTTTAACCAATTTTAATTAATTAAATTTTGTTAAAAACGTGTTATCATATTTATGCGTTTTCTATTTTCTCTACGCTATAAATTACTAAGTAAAAATCACATCATCTCTTACTTTTCAGGTTTTACTAAGAAATATTAGTTTACGTTATTTTTACTGTTTTCTGTTAAAGCATACTAATAAATAATAATTTACGTTTTACATAAATCCTTTTTTATGCAGTGGTTACATTTTCATGAGCCCAAGAACATTGAGAATTGGAGCAAACAATGAAGTAATTTTCCGACGATTTGGATCTTTGAATGCTGGGACACTGAAGGTCCAAGTCTTCAACAAGATTGATTACAGTAGTGACAATGAGACTATAGCTTTTTCCAAGAAATTCGAAATTTCTGAAGGTACAATATTTTTTTACTATGTAAGGTGTTCCGTGCGGGCTAATTTCAATATACATTATTTCTTAAAACCTTGCTCAAAAATGAAGACAATAAAGTATATTGCAGTGGTGAAGACAATTAATATTTAAGAGAGAGGAAGTCAAAAACGCTATCAAAATCCGACAAATCACAATTTAGGTAAGTGAACTCACAAAACATGTAAATCAGTTTGTTCGGGAGGTTGGAATTGATAGTGTGACAACTAATCGTATTTTAATTGATCACTGCTCCCACTTGCAATCAAACAGGTTTCAGCCATTTTTAATAGTGAATTGTCAAGATTTGGATAGCGCTTATGATTTTTTTCTCGACTGAAACTTAGTTCGTGACCCAAGTGTTTTTACTATGTTGTTATCCTTGTCTTTTAATATATTTATAAATTTGTCTTTACTTCACACCCTGAATATAATTATGAACACAATTAAACGAGCTTAGAGATAGCTTGTTAATGGAAGTGTTTATTTGTCAAATTGATTAATTCCGTTTTAAGTTTTATATTTCAAAGCTTTTTAATTCAAGATTCGTAGCATCATTAATAGGGCAAAAAAGAAAATAAGAGAATGCAATCTCTGCTGTTTGAAGAAATCAAACGTAACTGAAAACATCGAAACCAGTTTGAGTGCCTCGTGTAACTAGGAGGTGTTTCCAATAATCACCATTCCACTTTTCACGATTTCTGCCGACAATTTTAAAGGTTTTGATGTGTTTGGCACGTCTCCTTCAGTAGTGATTCATTGTATTTCAATAGATTTAGTTCGTGATACATAACATGTTTAGATTTTTGGTAGTACAGTTAAGGATTCTGAAAATGTACCTTGCTGGTTATTACGGAACATGAAAATGAATTTCTGGCAAATAAATTCAATGAACTAACGCAGCTAAAATTACCTGTATGTGAAGATATAAAATTCTGAATAGAAAGGTAAAAAGGGTAAAATGTGTAAATTTTATACTTCTAATTATGATTAATTCGTTAAATCAAGGTCTGAATAATTAGAAATTCTTATTTACGTATGATAAACCTTATAAACATATGATAGAACTAAAGATACTACCTGAAGATAAGATACTAACTGAAAAATTAAAGCTATATTCTCGGTAAACCAGAAACTGTTCTAAGTGAAAATTATATTCTAAGGTGAATAGAAAAATGTCCTAAATGAAAATTGTATTCTAGGTGATCATAAAACTGTTTTAAATTAAAATTATATTCCAAGGTGAATCAGAAGCTATTTTAAATGAAAATAAATTATTTTCTAGGTGAAACAGAAGCTATTCTAAATGTGCGTTTTGATCTTCAAGATGTGCATGTCTTTTCCGGAAGAATACAGATTAACGGGACTTTTGGTGACCAAAAAATATCTGGTAGTGACACTGTAGCTCTGCACAAACCTACGCGGAGTATTGTAATAATTCAAACTGACAAACCCCTTTACAAACCAGGAGAAACAGGTATTGGAGTACTTAACTGTCTCATTATTACTATAATTTGTGTTCTGTCTACCGGCCTGTGTAGGGGTCAGGGAACTGGCTTTGCTTCGGAAAGGTTTTGGGTTCTAATCCTGGGCAAGGCATGGATGTTCTTTCCGTCTCTGTACTATCTGTCCTTACTGTGGGAGCACTGTTGGCCCACCTAATAAGCTGCCCCTGAAAGAGTGACCTACAAATCTGCCCTTCAAATGCCTGTATGACGCAAGGTGGTCATTGGAAAAAAATTTAAAAAAATAATTTGTGTTCTACAATTGAATGATAAAAATAAACAATTTATAAATCTACGTGAACTATTGAATGCAAGGGTTCTTACCTGTGAACTATAAAGTTAATAATTTCGTCTTTGATAGTTCTAAAATGAAAATATAGAGGGTATACCACCCGTTAATTCCCCTACGTCTTTCAAAAGGGGTGCACCCTATGTTGTTCGTTTCATGTCTGACACTTTTTCTCCTTTTTAGTTTACTGAAAAACGGAGTAATATAGAAAAAAATGTCTTACTAGTTTGCGATAAAATTTTAAACTGGAAATAATATTGCGATAAATTTCGCTTGACTCGCTTAAGAAACAATAGTAATTTTAATATTTACAATAAAATGGCGATATAAATTCTGATAGCAGTTGTCAAAAAATAACTGAAATTGGATTGATGCTCAGAACAACCTTCAATTTCAATTTTTTATCTTGAAATAGTGAAAACTTTGAAGATATACTCAATTTGACTATAACGTGTAAATAAATTATTATATTTGTGCTGTTTTGATTATATAATTTCATTATAATCATAAGCATCTGGAAGCTATAGGTTTTTTTCTGCATGTAATATATTTATTGTTCTTCCACCGTAAGAAAACGATTGACCTTTGAAGCTTACACCTTTTTATGTCTAACATAGGTCTAGGTAATTTTTATTTTATCTACCTACATAAAACCATTTTTATAGAGTAAATAACATAGTTATTGTTGTAAGTAACACTTTATCTGCATGTTCGCTGACTTTCTATTTGCAAATAAAAAAATCTTTTGTTTCCATTTAGTGCAATTCAGAGTTCTTAGAGTAAATAAAGATCTGAAACCCTTTAAGGAATCAAATGTAAGTTTTGTTACGTTACATAATAATCATATTTATAAATTTTTTTTAAAAAAAAGTATTAGATTTTTGAACCGCCTTACTATGATATTGATTTACTTTAATATGAATACTCCAGTTTCACACCATAAATAGCGTGAAATAGTTTGCCCCTAACTTAATCACATTGTTATTAATAATAAGAATCTTAATAATAAGAATTCTAATTCTAATATTCAGACTAGAATAATACAGTATTTTAAGCAATAATAGTATTCTATTTTTTCATAATAACTATACTATCAGTTATAAGAATCTCGTTTCAAAAATTCAGTCTAGAATACTATAATATGTAGTATAATAATATTTTACTTTCTGCTGTAATCATATTTCTGCAAATAATTAAAATCTTAATTCTAATATCTAGGCTACGATAACACAATATTTTATGTAATAATAGTATATATTTTATGCAATAACAGTATATATTTTATACAATAATATGTATTTTATGCAATAATAGTATATATTTTTTTCCTTATAACTATGTTATCTATAGTAAGAATCTCATTTCGGTCTAGAATAGTACAGGTTCAGAATAGAATATTTCATATAATGATATTCTGCATTTCGTTACAATAAAATTGTTATCAATAATTAGAGTCTTAATTCAAATGACCAGGTTAGTATAACACAACATTTCATGAAATAATAGTATTTTTTTTTATACTAAATATTCCATCAAATATTGAAATTGTAATTCTAGTATTCAGGAAAGATATTTTACGTAATAATAATATTTTCATTTCTTTCATATTAACTATGATATCAATAATAAGAATCTCGTTTTGAAAATTACGTCTAACATAATTTAATAATTCGTACAACAATATTTTACATTTTGTTATAATCATATTTCTTTCAATAATTCGAATCTTAGTTCTAATATCCAAAATAGGATCACACAATATTTTTTGTAGCAATGCTTTTCTTTATTTTTTTATAATATTAAATGATGTCAATAATACGGATGTCGTGTCTAAACTCCGATTTAGAATAATCCAATATTTTGTATAAAAATATTTTAGATTGCTGCAACAATATTGCTATCAATAATTAGAATCTTTCTTCTTAATATGCAAAAGAAAGTAATTCAATACTTTAAGTAATAATGTATTTTTCTTTTCACAATAATGTTACTTAAAGCGCAGAGTAAAATAATTTAAAATATTTTTTAATCAATATTTCATAATCTTATTTTTTTATCAGTAATTCGAATATTATTCCTAATATCTCAAATTAACCAAAATAGGAAATATATAAATAGACTTTAAGTAAAGGACATTTTCTACATATATAAAGTATAGTAAGAATTACTTTATTTATGCTTCTTCATAAATTAAGTACTTCTAAATTTAAATTTGATTCTTTTCTTCTGATGCAATGCAAACTTTAGTTTAAATAATTTTCATTTTGAATTTGATATGAAAATTGATGTTTGCTTTTTTTTACAGTTTCTATTTACACTTTCTTTTCATTTGGTGCAATGCAAACTTTAGTTTAAATAATTTTTATTTTAAATTTTATATGGAAGATCTATTTTAGGTTTTTTTTTTGTTACAGTTTCTGATAGCAAATGAAACTAAAGTGTAAAAAACTATAATCAGAATAAAATCATAAAACAAATAAAAATATGGAAAAGATCAAGAAATTGTAGGTAATAAACGCTTGTAAACATTAAAACGTTTATCAGAAAATTGAAAAATTAATAATTATTGACAATGAAGCTTGAATTTAAGATATGAATATCAAAGTTCAAGGTCTAAAAATATCATACTTATACATACACAAGTGAAACTCTTGTTTCAATTTCCAAGCATATATATATAATAATAATAATAATAATGATAATTGCATCTCTCAATAAATATTTAATTACAGGCAAAAAAAATTCCAGTTACACTCCAGATTAAAAAGATATTTACTCACTTCTGAGGAACCCAACAGAATTTTTCAATTAGCCACTAAGAAAAACAATGGAACCCCCGTAATAAAATCAAAGCAAGCAGTTACGAAATATTTTCAATAGCTTTACACCTTAGCCTGCTTAGAGCTTTTCAATATTAAACCCTAAACATTATAAGAAGTATTCTTCTGGGAACTTTCTTTTCAGACAAGTATGTTGCTTAGCAACTATGGGGGAAAATCTTATAACGAGGGAAAAATTATTTCAATCTTAACTGGACAATTTATTTATTTATGTATTTAATATTGCACATACATAGCAGATTTTTTACTCATTACAAAGAGCAGTTTACATGACCTTGTCAAGTTGAAGAACAAAAATTATAAATCAGATAAGGACATCACAAAGATTCGTCGATATTTATAGCGGGATTTGAACCCGCTATCTCTCCATTTTAGAGTGTTTGGAGGATAGCCAAGACTTCTTGCCCAAAGAGGATTCTTTACTTATGCCTTCAATACCATGAACGATTTTATGAACCCTAGTCAATAAGAACAGTTAGCACAAATGAGAGAAGAACAGAACAACATAAGGAATTTGAACCCGCTGCCTTTGTGCTTCAGATCAATTGGCAGAAGGGCACTACCCCTTGGTAAATAGAGACCCCACATATATATGTAAGTGCTTTTGTGCTCAATACAAAGGGAACTTCATTGACCCTTGTCAAATTGAAGGACAGATAGCACAAATTATAGATGGATATCAAAAAAATATATTTGAAGTTACTATAGGATTTGAACTTCTAGGCTTTAGAGATTTTTGGTGATAGGGCAATATTTTTCGGCCATAGAGGCCCAATCAAATTTTTCGATCAATAAGCTAAGAGCCGATTAAAGGCTTTTGAATTAAGTATCATGAAAGATTTTGTTGTTGTTGTTGTAGTTCTTTTACGTCGCACTAGAGCTGCACAAAGGGCTATTGGCGACGGTCTGGGAAACATCCCTGAGGATGATCCGAAGACATGACATCACAATTTTGATCCTCTGCAGAGGATATGGCACCCCTGCTTCGGTAGCACGACGACCTGCACGCGAAGTCGAGCACTTTACGGTCGAACAGTTTAACGAGGACCAATACCACACACCCTCGGTCCCTACGCAGACTGATCCAAGTGGTCACCCACCCGCGCGCTGACAGCAGCCAGTGATGCTTAACTTCGGTGTTCTGTTGGGAACCGTGTCTCAATGATCAGTCCACTGCAGGACATGAAAGATTTTTAATTATTTACGTTGCACTAAAGCTACACAATAGGCTATTGGCAATGGTCTTTGAAGCATCCATGATGAAAATCCGAAGACATGCCATCACAATATTGATTCACTGAAAGAGGAATGACATCCCCGCTCCGGTAGGCCGACAACCTGCGTGCAAAGTCGAACACTTTATTGTAGAAAAGTTTAACCAATACAGCACACCCTCGATCTCATCGTGGGCTGATCAAGCATCACTGGCTGCAGCCAGTGATGCTTGATCAGCCCGCGGTGAACTTCGGTGAACAGCTGGGAGCCGGGTCTTAACGATCAGTTCACTGCATGACTTTACTTCTAGTCAAAAATGAGCTATATATATATATTCTAGAGCTCCCAAATAAAAACTTGAACGAGAAAAGAAAATCACGTTATGAAAATCATCAATATCAAAGGTATTATTAAAAACAAAACGCTGGTATGCCTTACCTTAATGCTTACATACCTTAATGTTTAAAGTTACATGCAACTTTATACACTCAAGTATTCTTCCAGAAATTGAAATCGTTTTGAGATCAATATAATGTATAATTCAATAGTAAAATTTAACTGTTTTCATTCAAGCATTTTTAAAAGTTTATAATTTTAAAAGTTTATATCATAATATTTTTGAGACCCATATAATATATTTATTTTATATTTGACACATTATAATTTTATTTTTAATAAAATTTCTTACAGAAAACTATAGCTTACGTTGAAGACCCAAAAGGAACTAGGTTATTCCAATATACTAATTTGGATCTGGAAAAAGGTTTGAATTTTTTGGATTAATTCCTAAAATTTAATAAAATTAGTTAATAAAATTTGAAGGTGTATTTGAAAAGTTTATAATGAAAAATAATTAAATACTAAAACTGAAGAGATAATATTAACGAAAAACCAAATTTCAAAAATTTATGTTTTCAAAAATAATGCATTCATTACAATGAGAGGTAGATTATAAATCATTGTTTTTTTGCAAGTTCTTTATTGATTCATAAACGATTGGAAGATTTATGAAATTTAATTAGTATTTATTTCAGTTACAAATATTTTTGGAAACGATGACTTAGTCTCCCCTGAGTTTGATAATGAACTGAATCATCGGTCCAAATTCAATTCAATGATGTAGTTTTTTCTATAAATCATAAGAAATTATAATTAATTCATTATACAAATGTAATGATACAGAAGTAAACAAAAATATGGCAAAGACTCAAAATTACAAACAGTAGAGTGTCACCTATTCTAGTTTTTTGTATCAACTAACCGTTTTCTTTAATTGTCGGTAGAGGGCGCAGACGCCTATTGGGAAAGTAGAAACTTTTAGAGAAGTGTCACTGTGACGCCAGAGTTATTAGTCCATAGGTATTATCGTTCATGACAGTATTTAAGCTTACTTCCACGGCTGGAAACTGTACACAATAGCTTGTTGTTGTTGTTAATTTACGTCGCACAAGAGCTGCACAATGGGCTATTGGCGGCGGTCAGGGAAACATCCCGGAGGATGATCCGAAGACATGCCATCACAAATTTGATCCTCTGCGGAAGGGATGGCACCCCCGCTTTGGTAGCCCGACGACCTGCGCGCGAAGTCGAGCACTTTACGGTAGCACAGTTCAACGAGGACCAATACTGCACACCCTCGGTCCCTACGCAGACTGATCCAAGTGGTGTGCCACCCGCACACTGACCGTAGCCAGTGATGCTTCGGTGATCTGCTGGGAACCGTGTCTTAACGATCAGTCCCCTGCGGGACACACAATAGCTTGAAAAGTGTTGTCATTTTGTCAAGCTTTCAAAAGAAGACGTGTCTAATTTTTACTTTCCCTTGCGTTAGAAATTTTTTTTAAGTGCTTTATGTTGGTTTAAGTTAAATTAGAGTTTCCAGTGTGAATAAATACTAAACCCTTAATGATGAGAAAGCTAAAAATCTACATTTTAAACAACTTTTCTTCAGCTGGTGTTTTTTATTGTCTTATGAGTCCTTTTTTATCTTTTTACGAAAATATGCATTTTGTAAAGGTATTTTTTATATTTTATTTTTCAATATTTAGGTTTGGTTCAAAACAAGTTCCAGCTAACAGAGGATCCTGTTTTAGGCAGTTGGTCTATAAAAGTCTATACAGGGGACAAATTTAATCAACTAACAAATTTTGATGTTAAAGAATATGGTAAATAATAATGTTATTTTTTTTTTTTTAGTATTTTCATAGATTGTCATAAACATTTCAAAGAATGAAGAGCTAAAAATTGTTTTATTCTGAAGACAGGAAACAACAAACTGATAAATTCAGTTATATTTATTGAGATTCATTTTACACTACCGAACGTAAAAGTTACAAAAACTATTCTTACCTAATGAAAAGATGTGGCAAATGTAACTAACATAAGAGCTATCCGATGTGTTAAAAATATAAGGATAGCGTTTTTGTTACTTCCTCACTTATATAAGTGTCTGATTACTAAGATTCTGAAATTATAATGCGCATTTGAATTTTACGTTCTAATTGAAGGGTGAGATAGGCCACTTATCAAGAATTGCAAAGCATCACATCAGTGACATTGTCATTGACCTAGAAACTCCTCCGGTTATGGACTGGCTGGTCATGTGCTAGAAAACGTGAAATTGTCATTAAACTGTGATAGTTTAGATCAGCAGTTTCCAACCTTTTGTTGCCTACAGCTCCCCTCACGGAATTGGCTGACAATTATCACCCTTTTTTTTTCTTTTGGATTAAAAAAAACTATGCATTGTTGAAAGTGAGAATCAACAAAGTTGAATACATGCTAAATAATACCTGAAACAACTTTATCCAGTCACTTTAGAAATTTAAAAAAAAAAGGTTTATCCCTTTATTTATTTTTTCAAAAAGAGGTACTATTTGAAGCAAAATAATTGAAACAAGAATAAATTTTTTTAAATTTAATTTTTAATGTGATCTGGAAAAATTGAAAAGGTTAACAACTAAAATGTGCGAAAAATCTGAAAATTTGAAAACTCAATTATTCATTTTTACCTCGACATTGACTACCTTGTGCTTAGTGGATTTTAGTTAAAGCTTGCCAAACACCAGACTTTATATTCATCAGATTTAAGTTTAGGACTCCTTTGAAGCGAATGCCCAACATACTTCTTTATTTTGTGAAAAGCTGGACGATCGAACAAAATCTTCTTTCTACTAAATATGTTGACGGAACCCAAATGACGGCCAATTCGCTGGCTTTTTTTATTGCTATTAATTTTTTATTTTGAAACCGTCTTTGAACAGCCGAACCAATTTTTCCGGTTTACGACTACTTATGTTAAACTCAGTTACCTTGTAATTTTAAACCCAATCCAGAAGACAAGGGAACTCCTGGATCAAGTATTGGAAGAAATTTACAGTGGTGGAGGAATTTTTCGATTGAACTAAAGCACATTTGCGTTGTATGGAAAGGAAAACCATGAAAACCTTCCACGGTTAGTCTGATGACAAGGGGGCTCTAACTCATGATCGGTCTACCACTAAAGATATTTCACGCCAGCACTGTGGTCCAACCGAGTCGGGTAGAGAGTTCGTACCCACCAGTCATCGCTGAGATTCGAACTCGGGTAGCCTCATTTGAAGGCAAACGCTCTATCTTCTGAGTTATCACGGCTTTATTATTATTAATTGGAAATTTTTCTTTGAATTCTCATCGCCCACCTGCCCAGTTGAGGAGCTATATCACCCCCTTTAGGGCGATTGCCCCCTGATTGGGAACCACTGGTTCAGATAAATAAAAATACCGTTTCAAATGAGCAGGAAGTGCGTTTTAAATGGGAACCTTTTTATCATCAACTAGCCTCACTCACCACTGAAAAGAAATTTAATTCTAAAATAATAGCAATCGATTATAAGAAACTAATTTTAATTCTCTGAGTTACTAAATTAAAAATAAATCTTAATTGATTATATTGATACACTTTTCATTCTTTCTATTTTAGTGTTACCGAAGTTTGAAGTAACCATAAAATTCCCATCTTTTGTTTTGGCGAACGCAAAGACTATTCCAATTACGGTTTGTGCGGAGTAAGTGGAAATATTCTGCAACTTATATTTCAATTAAATAACTGGACATACTATTTGCTTTAAATCGATTAAAATGCGTTTTTTAATGATTTGAAACTCTCTTTCAGCACGTAAAAAAGTGTTGATAATCTTTAAAACAAAGTTTCACAATTTAATTTAGTTAGTACATCCTTCTGAGAAAACTCATTTAACTTAAAACTATGATGAAAAACGTTTTATCATTTAAAAAAAAATTCTTGTAAACTTTGAATTCAAATGTTTATATAAATTCAATAATATCCGCTACCCTCAGTGGATAAAGCACTAAACTGTCATTGGGGAAAACTAGGGCCTCATCAGCTTAAAGCTCAATGGTATCGACTTGAAGACGGCAGAAGCTTGAATCTCGGTCAGTATGAGATAAGTGTGAACAGGATGTAAAGGTGGTATTTTGTCAATACTGACCATATTACCCCCACGTTGTTTATGAAATTGCGTAGCCTTAAACTGTTGTCCTCTTGACTTCTTGCAGGAATGCTCGACTTTGTTTCGAATTAAATGGGACAATATAGTTATGTTTTTCTAACGACTGAGAAAATGACCTTCAGATATGCAACTACTGAATTAAAATTTGAAGTTAGAAAACACCCATTTTCGTTCGTAGACTTACGACGAAAATGGTTTTGCCTTATAAAATCTCCATTTACTCATTATGTGAGAAAATTAATCTTTCTCTCTCGAGATCTTTGCTTCATAAGCTCATTTTTCAGTTGTTGTTGAAAGCAAAGAAAAAATAGGGAGGAAAGAGATTAGATGTTTGCTAAATAGAAATTTTAAGGTAAATGTAAAATTTTTCAAAAACATAAAATGCAAACTAATACAAAGTCTCTGTTATAATGGTACTGGTCTTCTGGTAAAGTACTTCTCGTTTTTCTTTCTGAGTCACACAATCTGTATTCCCCAGTTGTTGTTTTAAAGTGCATTTTATTATTTTTCTTTAAATACAAGTAATCTTTCATCTCGTTTCAAAGTATTTTCATATTGTACATTTTTGTAAAAGCATGAAGTTTTTTAAACAGTTTCAACTCTTTTATTTTGGAAGCTTTTCTGTCATATTTGTATTTACTTTTGTTTGTTTTATTCTATCATATAATAAATTCTAATGTTAATGGAAAGAAATCTACATTAACAACTCTTTCGAAATTCGTTCTTATTTTGAAAAGGAGTAATGGTGCATGCATTTCATTAACATTAAAATAATTTTAAAATGGTGTAAAATAGCAAGAAATTAAAATATTTAAAATAAATCGTAATTTACTTTGCAATTATGCTTTTGTCTTCAATAACAGAAGATATTAACATCAGATGCATTTCGTAGAACTCTATTAAAACAACCAAATGATAGCAAGGAATTTAACCAAAAAGAATGTTTTAAACTATTTGATAATTGTAGCTTAACATTGCATTGCACCGAATTCCCCACAAAATCTTATTCATAGATAGATATTAAATCAAATTGATATGGATATTAAAAACTGTTTTTAGGTACACATATGGTGAACCAGCATCTGGTACATTGAATTTAAATGCATCTTTAGAGAGATACTTTTACGAAAGAGATGTCGATGATGCTAAGATACCAACGAAAAGGATAACTACAGAAGTAAGGTTATTTTTCTATAACATGTAATCAGAGACCGACAATAACGTACGAAAGGGAAAATACTATTTTTGAACACAAAGCCAAAAAATGTAGCAAAAGAAAACGTACGTTTAAAAAATTAAGTATTGTTGCATTTTTTGGCATGGGGTGTACAAAAACACGATTTTATCTCCGTAATTTATTGCCGGTCCCTCAAATCACTGAAAGCTTTAAACATTATTGATAAGTGTCAGAAATTGCGTAACCTAAGCACTTCTAAATTAATAAAATTATTTTCTATGTATGTTTGAGAAAGATCAAAATATGTGTTAATATATATATACACTGGTTATCATAAATTAAGGAAAATTCACAAAAATCGCGATAACTCAAGAAATTACACATGGAATTTTATGAAACTTACCCACAATATACAACACATAGTAAGGTATTAAACAACATAAAAAGAAATTATCAGACATTNACAGTCCAGTCACATTAATGTGACCAATACCTACTTTCGACGTCAACGTAAAATAACCAATCACAGAAGGCAGGTGGCAGCACATTACAGTGGATTGTATAGATAGGATGTCCTAAGGCATCTGAAAGCATTTCAATCGTTGGCGTAATGCAGAAACGTAGCGATTTATCCGACGTCCAAAAGGGCATGATTATTGGCTTTCGGGCCAAGGGTGGAAGCATTTCGGAAACGGCTGATTTTGTGAACTGTTCGCATGCCGCCGTGGTAAAAGTATACCGTGCATGGCAAAATGGCACTATACAAAACAAGCGGCGTGGCACATGTGGGGCACCGCGGGCCATAGATGACAGAGGCGAACGAAAGCTACGGAGATGCGTTCAGGCGAATAGACGTGAGACTGTTGAGCAACTGACCACCCAGATGAATCAAGGGGTTACCAAGAATGTATCCTCAACCACTGTTTAGGGAACGTTGCTGTGCATGGGTCTCCGCAGCAGACGCCTGGTTAATGCACCTATGCTGACTGCTGTTCATCAGCGACGAAGGCTGCAATTTGCACTCCAGTACCGCAACTGGACGCCCACAGAGTGGCAACAGGTGGCTTTTTCCGATGAATCACGTTTTATGCTCCATCGCACAGATGGACGTTGGCGTATACGACGTGAAACATCTGAAAACAAACATCCTGCAACAATTGCCGGAAGGCTGCAGGCTGAAGGAGGGAGCATTATGGCTTGGAGAATGTTTTCCTGGCATTCACCGAGTGCTCTCATCATTGTGGAAAGCACGATGGATCAGCACAAGTACGCATCTTTCCATGTGTCCACCCCTACATGCGAATAATTTTTCCTCAAAATTATGGCAGGACAATGCGAGGTGTCATACAGCTCGTAGTGTATGTGCGTGGTTCGAAGAGCACCAGGATGAATTTACCATACTCCCCTGGCCAGCAAACTCACCGGATTTAAACCCAATCGAGAATCTGTGGGACCACCTCGATCGGGTTGTTTGGGTCATAGATCCTCAACCGCGTAATCTAGCGCAGCTGGCCACGGCACTGGAGTCGGCATGGCTCAACATCCCAGTGAACACTTTCAGAAACCTAACTGACTCTCTTCCTGCACGTGTCGTAGCGGTTCGCTCTGCCAAAGGTGGTTATTCTGGATTTTGACAGGTGGTCACATTAATGTGACTGGACTGTATATATATATAAGTAACGTCATTTGCGACATCTATTGTCTTTGCATTAAATTAGAATAATCACTGCCCTTTTGACTAAATAGAACTCGTGCTACATTTTTTTTCGTTTGTATGTTAGTATAAAGTTACCCCAGTTCATAGTAAATGCAATTTGTGTTAATCTTGAAATAATAATAAGTTTTGAATCGCAATAATTATAAGATGTATAGTTTTTCCCATTCTTCAGATCAAAGGTTGTTACACATATAATCTAAATGTAAAAGAGATTGAGAGTGATACATCCTATTACAACAGTCGAAGCATTGTTGTAGCAGCTACTGTTACTGAAGATGGCACAGGTAAAAAAAAAATATATATATATATCTTGTTTTTTTTTAACTATCCAAATCTCAATATTAGAAGACAGTGTTTCCTAGTAAAACACTGGTAAGCATAGTCTTCTGTCCATTTACCCTTATCAAATAGTAAAAATAATTTTATTTCGTTAATGTTTTTTAACGTGTACCGAAATAAATTCTCTTTTAATTATTGTTTAAGAAAAATCCTTTTGCATATGTCATAAAGACTGTTATTTTTTGTTCCTTGCAAAGGTCCCCAACTAATAGCAAATTTGTTTTAATCTCAATTCAATATTAAAATTTAAAGGAAAGTAATAATAGAAATAATAAAACAAAAAATACACATTTTGAAATGAATGGGTGACTAAATGTAAAACAGTAACAAGCTTCCTAAACTTTCTTGCTAATGCTATGTTCGCGAGGTGACTGGTGAACAAGTTTGAGATTCCAGGAAGTTTTATTATTCTAATTTGCATTTAAATTTATACATAATTTTACCATTCATGAGAGTTTTCGGAATTTCATAAATTCGAAAAGATGGTGAGACGAAATTAAATTTAAGTATATTAATAACACAACATAAAGCGTAAGGCTAGCCATGTTTTGATTGTCATCACTTATTTGGCTATATATGTGTAAAATATTGCTGATTTTTATTTTTGGATAGAACCACGGCAAGCTTGTGGAGTTGTCCTAATGCGCTTGTTGTTTGTTTTGTCGAAAGTTAAATTGAAAGAACGCATTTTTTGTAAAAACGACAACTGTAGTAACATTGGTTGACGAGTTTTTTTAAGCTTAAGCGTAAAACTATATCAGAAATTGCAACTAACAAATTTTATACCGAATTCCAACCTCCTAGCACCACATATACTAAGCTTTTACCATTAACTATCTATACGTAGTTTTATTGTTAAGTTACTAACATGGAAAATATAAGGTTAGATAATATTTCTTTTAAGTGTTATTTTCTACTGATTCATCCCACTACAATTTATCATCAATTAGATGTAGACATACTGACCATAATATCTGGTCAAAACTGTTCAGTGGTATGAAGTCAGAGAATCACGAGACTTATATTAATATGTCAGTCTATTTGTCACATCAAGGACTGACTGCATACTTCCGAGGAGTCTTTTCACCAGTTTTTGATAAATAGCCAAAGAAATTGACTTCAAGAAATTCTCTATCGCACCTGATATCAGTGAAGACCGCTGATTTGACGTTTAAATTAGTCGTAAAAATATTATGTCTGGTATAAATCAGATTTTCAATCCATCTCTGATCAAAAGGTCAGTTTAGTTCTGACACCTATTTCATCAAACTATGACTGCAGAAATCTCGATGTGTGAATGAAATACAGCTATCCATTTTAAAGAAAAAAATAGACACATTCTTAAAGTTGAGTTATCAGCACTGCCCAGAATGTCCACATACATTTTAGAGAACTTTTTTCAGTCACAAACATTAAGGGATATGACCCAAATTGCAAAGAACACCCTACACCATAATACTGCCCCCATCAAATTTTATAAATGGCCATTTTAGTCACGCTTGCTCAGTAACTGCTAAACGTAAACGCGTACCTCTGCAGTCGACACTTTACATTATAGGGATGGATGTGAAGTCTGTGAGTGGCCACCTGATTAATGGTCTTCAAGGCTTTTCATTTTATGTAATTTTTATTTTTTATTTATTCCTGATGAACAAAACTCTTAAAGTCTAAGTAATTCTTGCATTTTGCCTTTCTGTCAAGGTTACGTTCATTTTTTTTCAGCCCGCCACTTTGGTTTTCTACAGTTTCACTGCCCCAAACTTTTCACTTTACATTTACATCACTCACAAAGAGTATTAGCTTCTGTATAATGATCAAAATTTCACGAACTGCTTTTCAACAAAAGAGACATCCCACTATAATGCCACGATCAAAGTTACTAAGTTCATTCGACTTACTCCTTAGAGATTTCTTGCAAAGTTAAAAGCTAAAGCTTTTTTGAGTTCCGCAGCGCATACGCGAAATTTTCCAATAACTCCCATAATTGCTAAATGAGTGGAAAATAAGGTTAGTATTGGGGTTAACGTATGATGAAAGCTTTCTATTGTCTCACAACTGCATAAATATGTCCTAACAAACCACTGACAACACTTTTACGTCTATCAGCTACGCATCAAATGACATCATCGTCCAGATTGATTTCTTTTATTGGAAGCTTAAGTTTTTTTGGTTATCATCATCATTAGCCCACCATGGCAAAGCGCCAAGTCCATTTCTAGCCCTCCATCTTTTGTCGGCCATCGTTGGAATGGCACCTAATTTTTAACTCCACTCAGATGACGTGGACTGCTTCTGAGCTGGTTAACCTTCCACCATACTTCCACGCCACAACCAACAAAAAGACTTTCAGAAATGACAGATTTAGTGTACGGATACTTTTGACTAGACAAAATAAAAAGTATGCTTTTAAACGCGACGTGATGATGCTTGGCGTTGACATAATGACATTTAAACTGAATTTCAGTTTTCCACATGCATATTTTGTCCATGCATAAATGTATATTTTGTATACAAATGTATAGGTCTAATGGCTGTTTAAATGTATAGGTGTAGAAAGAAGCGCTTCTCAAAATCTTAATCGTGATACTGAACCACTAAAATTATCCTTTATTGATGGCCTGGATTACTACAAACCTGGATTGCCTTATAATGGAAAGGTAAGCAACAAGTTCTTAAACAAAATTGTTTATCGAAATTATAAAAAAAAGAAAGTGAAACTCACTTAGAAGTAAAAATTTCTCAACTTGTAGCCTTTCAATAATATTGTTTGTTGAACCAGTTGAACTTGTTTTGTTGAACTTGTAGCTAAAGGTCACTAATCCTGATGGTACAATTGTATCTGGAGAACCAATAGAAATCTGCGCTACCATAAACAAAAGACGCATTTTAGCAGATTGGTGGGCTACCAAGACAGTACAAACCTGCAGAAATTATACTTCAAGTTCTCAAGGTCTGATTTCTTACACCATCTTACCTCAAAATGTAGACGTCATTTCAATCAGTCTAGAAGTAAGTAAGATACAACTTCAATCTGTAATATCTATAAATAATGTAATGTAACTAATTAAGAACTTCACTAAATATATATGTCTTTCAGTAATTCAGTCAATTACACGAATTATTCAAATTAAAGAGTGTGGTTCATTCCAATTTCTTTTGAATGATTCTTTTTTTGCCTTATTTGTCCCAAATACTTACATTTTTGAAATTTAGCAATTCGTATGAATTTTTTCTCGATAATATTATTCACATAATACTTTATAAAATATCCATTTATTATCTTCTAGTTTTGTACAGGTGAATTTATAATTCTCACTATGTTTTCAAAAAGTTATCACACAAACAGAAGGACTTATACAGTATAAATGAATCTTAAAATATAGAATACAGACTCAAGTCACTTTTTCCAAATAAAGATAGGGTATTCTTTGTACTATGTCTAAAAAAACATAACGATTTGAATAAAGTTCAAATTACAATGGATATGCTATAGTTTCAGTTCTATAAGCAAAAACCTTCGTCAGTATCGAAATATAAAAATGACAGAGGAAGCAAAAGAGTAAATTAGTTCAATAAGGGAAAGAACGAAATTATACCAATTGGGAAAAAGGAGCAAGCTTCAACGAGATAATAACAAGCATAAATTCAAGCATTCTTTTATTATCGTGATTAAATTTGCTATGATTCCGTTGTTGCTTCGACCACCTTATTTTCCTTTATAGCACGTGATCTTCCTCGTACTCGGACTCCTTTCCGTCATTTTGTGGTACGATGCTGAGGGAGGCTAATGTTTATAGGATCGAAACAAAAGCATGCTGATTATTTGTGCTTTATTCATGCTACCTTGCTTTATTCAATTCAAGTTTCCTTTTCTACCCTTTTCTGACATTCTATGTTTAAATCTTTAGTCACAGATCATGCATTAATCCGATTGCTCAAACTCTATTCAACATGATATATCGGTAACGACAAAATCGGCGACTTCTTTTGTTGGACAATGTAAAAGATCTTACTTTCTTACCTCTTTGTCGCATGATTTAGCAGAATTGTATAAAAATGATTAAAAACGCTGCAGTATTGTTGATAGTGCAATGGTGAATTGAATCTAGTAAAAAATGAACTATCGCATTGATGTATGCCCTGTGATTAAAGATTCATACCTGAAACACTTGTAATGCTAGGATGTAGTGAGCTCGAACCTGGCAGTTGACAAAACAACCGGCGTGCATATGCAGCAAGATGCAAGTTAGATCTGCCAAGGCCAAAAATTCTTTCGTTGGTTGTGGAAGTTTGGACAAAGGGGTTCAATCTCGCACTCTGTCCATGTCTTCTGACTAGGGTCAAATTTGAGTGGTATTCCTAATGTGGCCGTTGAATGATAGAGCCCTATAAATAGGACTAGGTGCTTGGCCATGGTTGGGTGATGTATAATGACTTTTCAGGCTGTAAATAGGACTTGAATTAATTATGTATATTGTGTAAGACTCATTTTTGCTTTAATGATTTTTTGTAACATTGCCATTTGAATCTCCAGAGGAAATCATGGATAATCCTGCATTGTTATCTTTTAACTAAATATGAATAACAAAAACGATGATGAGCAGTTTAATTTTTAAAAATTTATTTTGAAAAAAATATATTCAAGCTTAAATCTTCATGAAGCAAAACTCAATGCTATAACATCGTTAATATACAAATTTATTAGAAAAATTTATAATTTCTACTCATTTTACACCAATGGAATGTCTTTTTTCACACTTATATGACACGACTTAGTTACAAAATTAAAATAATATAAACTTAGTATTAAAGTTATGAATCATATTCAATCTACATTACGTGAAATTTTAGATAGTGATAAGTACAGGGTTTTGTGATTTTAACTTTATAATTTACATCAGTTAATAACTTACGAAATTTTCTCTTTTCTGGATAAACTTCTTTATTAGCTGGATAAACTTCTTTTAAATTATTATTTTTCTTGCAAAAATGTAAATGCGTCATTAATTGCAAGGATTAAAATTAATTTCTTTATAAATACGATTACAAGTGCTAAAATAATTATAATAATTTATCAATGCCAAATAATATCTATAATATGGATATTATGTCGAATAATACATTGAGTATAACAAATTAACTTTATTAAACGTTATTATTACTGAAACCATGCAATTATATTATGCGTGCTTGCAAGTGTGACATTCAGTTTTTACGAGCCTTTACGAGATTTGAGATTGTGTGACATTGAGGCATGGAGCATTTTGCAATTTCGTTTTCAATTTGGGAAAAATTGTCATTGATGTCCTATGAATGAAATAGGCCATTTTTGGATTAATGTTTTATTTAGTGGTGAACTTTGCTGGGATTACAAAAGTGGATTGTGTTAGTCTGGAGGGAAAGTAATTGCCAATATGAAACCTCCTAATGAGATGATCAAAGCTCGATTCCTAGAGATGATTGGTCAATGCGAATTCTGCTTCGAGTTCGCAATGACCAGAATGCTTACTCAAAATTTCCTTCCAGATGGATCATGCGTTATGCTGTGTTGGGTATCTGTTAGATGTTCGTGGTTTCCTTCTTCATGTAATACAAATGCGGGTTATTTCCATCAAAAATCCTCCAAAGTATGTTCCATTGTTTGATCCCTGAGTTCTCTCTTTTTTTTCTGGGTAGGATTCAAAATTTCAGACTAATGAGTTGAATATTGAAAGTCGTAAACTCAAATATGGGTTGTCTGTTCAATATAAAACTGTTTCGTAGGAAAGATTAAATTAGTTTGTTCGCAATTTAAACTTATGATGACTCTAACTATTAATTGATGTCTGCAATATTTATTAGATTTAACTGCCGTAATTATAGAGATATATATAAACTTGATTTTCAAAAGCAACTGTTGTGTTTTATAGGCTAAAGCTCTCAATTACGATCCAGCCACGAACAAAGACGTTGGAAATGAACCAAATCAATTAAGTCAGCCAACCACAAGTAAATTTCTGAACCCGTACTTTTCTCCTTCCGGAAGTTTCATACAAATCCAGCCTATTCCCCAACCGGTTGCATGCGCATCCTCGCAAACTCTTAAAGTGCTGTTCACATCCCAAGAAAGTGCAACTTATGAATTTTACTATCAAGTAAGTTTTACTTTTTGGTTATTTTAAAGAGCTCACATTCCTTCGATTTTCTGCATCATATCAAGCACTTATGGATTATAGAGATCATATGTTGGCGACTACTTTTCAGAGTAGTCGGCAAAACGAGTATTGGTTTTAACGAGTTGCATCGATAAAACCGAGTTTGCCCGAGTTTTAACATCGGGTTGCATCGATAAAAACATCAATATTTAACAGTCTCATCAATTGACAAAAAGGTTATGTTTAATTTGTTATATCGCAAAATTTTTCTAATTTAACTAATTTATATTATTTTTACATTGATCAATATTTTCATCAACAAAATTAGATTTATTCACACTTACAATAATATCGTATCAATAACTTGTATCATAATTATTGTATCAAATATCGTATCAATCAATAGTATCAATAAATAGTATCATAATTATCGTATCAAATATCGTATCAATAACTTCTATCATAATTATCGTATCAATAATAATATTTGAGTTGATATGTATCGTCATCTGAAATGGTCGTGATATTACTTCATTCCATAATTATAATCCTCATTAGTGATCATGATATTATCGTATTCGATAAGTATTGTTAATTTTAATGATGGCGATATTTTCGTATTTAGTACACCTACCCCAGGTATTGTCCCTGACTCACTGCTCTTAAAAAAATTTAAAAAAATATTTAAATTAATATGTCTGCTCGATGACAATGATATCAGACCTGCCATTCAGAAGTTTTAATTTAAATTCACAAAAATAAAATCAGTAATTATTAAATGCAATAAACAAATTAACAAGATAAGATTTTGAGGAGAAAAAAACACTTTTCCATGAGTTAGGTTTTGTTTGATAAGTGGTTTTGTTTTGGTAAAAAAGCTGTTTAAACGAATTATTCGAAAAATAATTGTTAATCGATTATAATTGTAATAATTATTTACAGACAAATATAATTGTTAAATGCCTTAAAATTCATTAGTGCATTTGTATCATAACATTTTAATTGTATCATAATTACATTTTATAACTTAAAATGACATTTGAAACTAATTAAATGTTACCACTTTATAAACAAATGCTTTTACATCCTATGTTAAGATTTAAGAGAATCAAGTTTGTTTTAAATTTGAGTAATTCATTCTTGTTTTGTAATCAAATGCTGTTCAACTATTATTGCAATCCACACAGCAGTAGATTATACAGAAACATTCAATTCAGATAAATTCTAAGCATTACTTATTTATCATTAGAACTTAGTAAAACAAATAATGAAGATTATTTCCAAGAAATAGTTTAGAGGAAGTAGTACTCAAGAACTGATTATAAAGCTGTGTGTAACACTCAATATTCCAAGGAAAAAAACTGAATCGAATAAGGGAAGAGAACCATTGAAAGTTAAATAGAGCTGATTAAGATGTCTCAGATGAAAGATTAAATCTATAAAAAACCGAAAGAATAAATTACCGAGAATATAAAATAGCTAGTGAAATTCAATTCTATTACTGCATGTAACGAACTAAATCTAAAAAGGAATTGCAAGATTGGGAAAGAAAATTATACACTTCTGATTCAATGTCTTATGACTTTATTTAGCATACAGTTTGGTGATAAATATTTAAATTTACTTAATAATTTGAAAATGAGATTTTTCATTTTGACACCAAATCATATATTCGAAAAAAATAAAGATTTTATAAAATTTGAGCAACATAGGAGTGAAAAAACATGCAAAAACTAATTTATTCGGTGCGGTTTATATCACGGATTTTAATGGGTAAATTATTTTACAAAGCATTGCTTGAAAATATTTATTTGAGCTTCGTATCTATTTTTGGTTGAAGTTCACATAATGTTCTTTGTAAGAGGATCTGTTTTCAAAACTCTTTCACTGAGGAAAACAAAAATGCCATCAAATTAAAGTACTTAACATTTAAAGCATAAAGTATAATTTTGAACTATAGTATCGTGTTTTAAAGAACTATCTGAGCCTTAGAATGATCAAATAACTTTAAATACTTTAAAAGCTTTTGGCTTTTATTTTAAAAAAAATTGACAATAATTTTCCACCTGTATAAAAATTATCAGAATCAATAAATAATTCTCAATTTAAAAAATTTTACCCAGATAATGCAGTGTTAGAATAACTTTTTAAATATTAATAAATAAAATCACCAATGCTTTTCATTTTTACAAAACTGTGTCTGTTCTTTTCATAAAAGGGCTTTGGATATAATTAGGCTTAACTTGACCTAATAGTTCACATTAGTTGTTGCAAACTCACATAAATAATGAGAAAAGTATTTTATTTGTAAAAAAAGCTCAGTTTTCCTTCTTGTTGTTCATTTACGTCGCACTAGAGCTGTACAATGGGCTATTGGCGATGGTCTGGGAGACATCCCTGAGGATGATCCGAAGACATGCCATCACAATTTTGATCCTCTGCGGATGGGATGGCACCCCCGCTTCGTTAGCCCGACGACTTGCGCGCGAAGTCGAGCCCTTTACGGTAGAACAGTTTAACGAGGACCAATACCGCACACCCTCTGTCCCTACGCAGGCTGATCCAAGTGGTCACCCTCCCGCTCACTGACCGTAGCCAGTGATGCTTGACTTCGGTGATCTGCTGGGAACCGCGTCTTAACGATCAGTCCACTGCGGGGCTAAAAAAAAAAGCTCAGATTCAGTCTCAAAGAAAAAGGAGAAAAATAATTAAATTATTCTTCGTTTTTGTGTTGAATTATTTTTAATATTCATTTTTTTAAAAAAAAAGCATTGTAAAATTATATAGGTAGTGTATCAGTTAGCTGCAGTAATCGATATAAAATTTTGTAGATAGTATGTCAATCAACCGTAATAATCGATATGAAATTATGTAGGTAGTATATCAGTCAACTGTATTCATCGATATAAAATTATATAGGTAATATATCAGTCAAATATAGTAATCGATATAAAATTATATAGGTAGTATATGAGTCAACTGAAGTCATCGATATGAAATTATGTATTCAACTGTAGTAATCGATATGAAATTGTGTAGGTAATATGTCAGTCAACTGTAGTAATCGATATGAAATTGTGTAGGTAGTATATCAGTCAACTGTAGTCATCGATAGTTCAATTCAAACTTCATTCTCTCCTGATGATGATGTTTCTGCAAAGTATGAAAAACAAAATAAAGTTATTAATGGTCCCGAAGTTCAACTGGATCCACCTAAAGAGTCAATTCCTCAATCATCAGAAGATAATTGCCCAGAAGCACAAGATAGCAAGTAAGTGCGAAAATTGTATAATACTTCTACATTGTTGCATAAAATATAGCATGTACAGTAGCCAAATCACTTTTCATTTGGCTAATCTGTAATTCCTATTTAATATCTCAAACTTCTTCAACGATGTTCAAAATTACATTTTCATAATTTAAAATATTTTTTCTTAATGAACAAAATTTTACTAATCAACGATGTTTAATTATCAAGCTGAAGTAAAGTAATTCGACGTTACGTACCGAAGGGGAAGCTGCTCAACAGAATTTCATGCGAAAAACTGGGTTTGTCGACATTTTTGCCTACTTGGCAATAATTTTGGCGACTTAGCTATGTTGGGCGACCATTTTACGAAATATGATAGTTTTGGATTGGATCGGACTAATATTTAAGGATTTACACGAGAATTGTCAATCATGTCGAATGTTCTGGTTACTCGTCGCTAAGCCTATATAAATAGGAGTGTGCTTCGCATAATAAATAGAGAGAATATATATATATATAAAAAATTCGAGGTGTTTCTTTTACTATGTTAACTCTTAAATATTCTTTTGCTTTAAAGCTACCCTTATTTATTGGTCGTTACAGTTACAAAATTTATTTTTAGTTCAATTTATTATGCGTATTCTAAAGATTCATACATTATCAAACAATAAGAATTAAGCCCCAAAGCAGCACTGTTCTACTTCGTTTCGATAACATCTGTTCGCAGGGGTAAGAACGGGTATTACTTTTTCTTTCCTCCCCTCCCCTTGAGCTTTCTCTACGATGGGCCCACGAAAGCTGCGATGCAAAGGAAGAAAAAGATAACTTCATCCACCGCTGAACAATGGTTTTAGGGGGCACTAGGACAAAATTTATTGCGAGTATTTTTCCAAAGCACATATAAGCCTTATTTTCATAGTTTGTAGAATTTTTGTTAAGTCTTTATACAAAATTGTAGTTTTTATATGGATATAATTTCTCTGTCATTTTTTTTCAAAAAATTATAAATAAGCCCCTATATTCTTGAATGGATTCTGGTCGTGCTCTTTAGCAGTTTCCGGCCTCTGGATGACAGTCTCTTTCCTTCCCTCTTCGTTATACAGCTTTGACTACATCATTATCTTGCCTAGTTTTCTTTAATTGTCTTAATAGAAATATCTGATTCCTTTTTCCTAGCATTTCTAAAATAAAATTCTAGTATTTCTTAGAGGGGTAAGACCGTGTAGTTTAACTTTCTCAAGAAAAATATACATATATATAGGAAAACTACAACATCTATAACTTTTCGAGAATGACATATTGAACTATGAGCAATGTTATTACTAAATTCATAATAAATACTAAAATTTTCTGCATACTTTCATAATTTAGGTACCTGCCACCCATTGGCGAAGTGTCTATAGATATTGACGTAAACACTATAATGTCACCATCAATTCGTGTCTTAGTATATTATGTAAAAGAATCTGGAGAGGTAGTAGCTGACTCTATGGAAATTGATGTTGAGAGCTGCTTTGAGAATAAGGTAGGGGTACTTAATTTTATTTATTGATTTCAAAGAATAGTTTAATAAAATATGCATGATACTCATAATCAATATTTGAAAAGACATTGTTAAAAATGAAATCAATAAAGTATACATATCAATGGATTCTTAGATTAATAGTTAAGCTATTAAGAATCAAAAAATTATTGAAATCTGCGTAACCACTAGAGTGGGAAGCAGGAAAAAATATTAAAAACCTGTTTGCCTATGCAATAAGGAGACATTTCTAACAATCACTTTTGAACTTCTCACTGTCTATTCCAAAATTTAAACAGATTTCGATGTTTTCAGTCCCATTATTTTCCGCAGTTATTTGCTATTCAATATTTATATGGGTCATTCTCACGAAAACTGTCATTTTTCAGTTCATAAAATCCCGAAAAAGTAAAGTGAATAAAAAGCTCTGAAACTTTTTATATTAATAGAAATATGTAATGGCATTATAAAGAAAGTATATATCCTATAAATTATACTTAATATTTAAATTAATTAATTTTTTAAATAATTAATTTATAATTAATTAATTTATAATAATTAATAATTAATTAATTAATTTAATAAATAAGTTAATTAATTTCACTATTTAAAAAGTGAGGGAATGACACTAATAGTGAGGGAATGATATTTTATTTTAATACATGTTTTTATCTAAGTTACATCTACCTAAAGTTTGAAAATGATAACATACTAAGTATATCTAATATTTATTATAATTTAGTCTTATATATTTAATAGTTTTTACAGGTTTGGNTTTGTCACCTTTCACAGCATAAATTAAAATTTTTAACCCCTTAAAGTTAAAAGTTTAATCCTTTAGGTCTCTGCTCATTATTATTTTTACTCCTAAAATATCACTACTATTTTTGATCAATAAAAAAATATCTCACAACTATGATAATATGTATAATTAACTATATTTTAGTTGAATTTATAAACTGTTACAATTGACCCCGTAAGTGGGGACAATTGTAACAAGTGCACGACTGTCAAAAATTGTTAATAACTAATATAATAACATTTAAAATAAGGTATATATTTATTTTCTAGTAGAGGATAGTCTACTTTATTCGTTTGTCAATTAATACTAATAATATATTGGATTTTTTGTTAGTTAAAAATAGTTAAGTTAAAAAATGTTACAACTGACACCACTCTCCCCTATACCGGGAAAATGTATGCCGGGCAGTGGCACTTAACTGGACCTAATATATATTTCGGATATTTGTCAAAGTGATTGTCAACATTTCACAGTTACACATACTTACAAAGCAGCCTTAAACATCTAAGCATTCAATCAATCAGCGATTTTCGGGAATTGACGTGAGCAGCGTGATATTCTTTTTATTCTTAGTTAGCCTTCTAATTAAAATGAGTTTTGCAGCAGAGTATAAACATAATTACGATCATACGAGCGTTTTATTATTCTGTGCTCATTCCAATTTTAAGTAAAGCGTGCCCTCCATAATTATTTGTTTTAAGGCTGAAGAATGAACTATAAATATGTGTTTTGTAATACAGGCACAGAGCTATCAATATATTCCTCCAAGTATTCAAGGAAATGTGGCTGGAGGAAGAAAACACTGGACAAGAACAACTCATCGAAAATCTAACGGTAATTAACAACCTTTATATATATAATTTTGTGATATATATATATATATATATCACAAAATCAAAACTAAAATTTCGAGTAACCTTGTAATATTATGATTAAATAATTAAGTACTTTATACACATATTCTCAACAAAAAAATTAAAAGGAGAAATTTTTAATTCCAGGTTCAATTTGCATTTGGTGATAAAAAGCAACAGCCAGGAGCCGAAACAACAGTCAGCATTACTGCTGGATCAAACTCTTTGTGCGGAATTAAAGCTATTGACAAAAGTGTTTTGTTATTGAACAACAATGAACAACTCACCAAAGAAAGAGTAATAGTTTGAGAGATAGTTTTTTGAATAAAAATTAAATTCGTTTTTTTAAAAAAATTTATTGTTTCAAATATTATTACAGATTTTTCAAATGCTATCTCGATTTGACGACAACGACTATTACTCAACAAACCCTTGTTACCAAAATCCAATTCAACCAGGTAATATATTTATAATTTTAAACCTTCAAACAGTTGGCAATAAGTTTTAATAAGCAACTATGATTTCCTTAATTTGCTTTAAGAGTTTTATACATTAAGATTTATTAATAAGATTAAGATTATACACAAAGATTTATACATTAAATTGAATCCTGTATGGATTAGTGAAAACTCCTCAAAAACTTCTTTTAGAAATTTTAATGAAATTTAAAATACAATAAATTACATCAAAGTAAAATTATAGGAGTTTGAATTCTTAAATTATAAGATAACTGGCCGCCGTTTGGTCACCAGCTTGATCACTGCTTATAACTTTCTTATACAACATATTAACTTTAATGGTAACCAAGCTGAATGCACAGCACAACTGTACTTAAATATTGTATTCTTCAACTCCTGCTCCTAATACCGTAATTTGTTTTAAGCAATATATTAACCAAATATCTTTGTTAACCGTTTATTCGTTTTCTGCGACTTTTTCCGCTCCGAAGTACTTTGGTTTAAATTTTAATTATTTTTAAGAGATGTCAGCGATAATTTTTAAGTTCGTTTTGTATGGGAAGTTAGTAATAATTTAAAATCTGTCTCGTAATAATTAAATCACGCAAATCATTTCAGGATAGTAGGCAGCAAAAGTATTTTATTTTACAACCGTCGTTGAACAGCTGACCCAATTTATTGAGTTTACGACTACTAATCTTCAACTTCACAGCCTTGTACTTTTGAACCCAATCCAGAAGACAAGGGAACAAGTATTGAGAGAAATCTGCCTTCGTGGAGGACTTTCTTTTATAGAGCTTACCCGAATTTGCCCTACATGGAAAGCAAAACCATGAAGAACTCCCCCGGTTAGCTTAACGACAAGGGGATTCTTACCCATAATCCGTCTACCACTGAATATATTTTATATCAACACTGTGGTTGATGCTAGCCGAGTGCGATATCCGAAACGAAAAACAGTCGCTAGGAATCGAACCCACTCACCTTACAGAGTGGCGAGCACTCTATCCCCTGAGCCACCACGCCTCACAGCAATAGTATTAAAATTATTTCCTCCTCTATCATGACATAAGATCGAAAACTAATTGCAGTGCTTCCTTACGTGAGCTGCACTACTTCCTCTCGAGCCGTAACTTGAGTTTCTTATAGCATATATGTACACCAAAGAGCCATTACATTATGACCACCCTCCACCTATAACAATGGGCTCACCCAGGTTTTCATGGTTTCTCGTCCAGGAACAATGTTTTCATGGGGCACATTAGGAACCATAATTTTCATAGAACAATCCCTGACGTCTGTAAGCTACTTAAACATAGTTGCAGACCAGGTTCACCCATTCATAGCAAAAGTTTTCCCTGCTGGGTATGGTGTTTACCAACAGGATAATGCACCATGTCATAAGGGTTGAATCGTCGAGGAACATTCCAGTGACTTTCAAGTCATGTCTTGGCCCCCAAATTCACCTGACCTTAATCTAATAGAACATTTGTGGTCCTACTTGGAAAACCAAATTCGTGCTGCCACGCTACCCCCTAGCAATGTGAGGGAATTGCAGGGCCAGTTGGTAAGCGCTTGGTACCAGATACCTCAGACTACCTATCAGCACCTTGTGGAATCAATACCACGGAGGTGCTAGCAGTTTTAAGGGCTAAAGGTGGTCCGACATGTTATTAGCAGGGTGATCATAATGTAATGGCTCTTTGGTGTATATGTTACTCTATTTCCGACACCAGATGTAGCACCATTTCACCTTTTTTGTTTAAAATTTATTCAACCGTTTTAGAAAGGATCAAAAATAATTCTAAATAATTACTTCGTAACTAAGCTTTTATTTCCATAAAAATACTGATTTATTCGAAACAATTACTTAAATTATAACAAACTATTCAACAAAATGTGTAACTATATTGTTGCAATAGATCGAGATATACTCGAGTTAATTTTACCATATAAGAGAAGCTTATATATATTTGCGTATATTTAAATTACTTGAACTTAAATCTGTCTTTATTAGAAGAACAATAGAGAAACTATTTATGAATTCTTACCAGGTTTTAATTCTGTTTTTAGGATTACAAAATGCTGCTGTCAAAAGCCTTTCAATAGCTTATCCTCCAGGAGGAAACTCATATTCATATCAAGACTCGCTTTCCGCTTTCTCGGTAAACTTTTACAAAATTCTCTCTTTTAATATAATTTATAAATATTTTCATGTGAATTATTGTGTTTTTTAATAAATTCTTACCATTTCAGACTTCTGGCTATCTTGTTATCAGTAACTTGTACATATTTACAAGACCATGTGAAAATGCCCCGAGATTTGGACCCGGTGGAGCAGCTGGTGAGTAGATTAGTACAGAGTCTCTAGTACTCATATTATGCTCTGAGGAGCACTTAATGTTTCGAAAAACATTTCCCAATGCAACGTGAAAGATGCCAGATATGTTTAAAATTCAAAAAATAATAATAAAAATATTTAAAAAAAATTTAACTAAAGTTATTAAAATTTTATTTTTAATCAATGAATTAAAATCTAATTAATAAGTTAGGTAAAATTTAAACAATTAAAATTAAAATTTAATTTTAAAATCAATTAATTAAAGTTCAATTAATAAATTAATTAAATTTTAATTGATTAAGTTCTAACCGAGAATTGATTAATAAATTAATTTAAATTTAATTATTAATAAATTAATTAAAATTTATTTAATTAATTAATAAATTAATCTAAATTTAATTAATTAAGCATTAATAATTTTAATCAAAATTTAATTAATTAAAATTAAGATTTAATTTAAGTAATCAAAGCTAAAATTTAATTAATTTAATTAAAGTTTAATTAATGTATTACATTTTAATTTATTGATTAATTAAGCTTAGTTGATTTGTTTAAATTAATTATATAATTAATTTTAAATTTAAAATAAATTAAAATTGAAATAATTTTTCGCAAATTTTTCTTAAGTAGCATCGTCTTTTAATTATGATCATTTGTGCTGCTTGTGTGTAAAGGAAAGATTATCGAGTATGGATTGTTTATCTCCATTTACGAGGAAATTTACAATGTGGAAGTGAACTTTTAATGTGTCAGTATTTCGTTCCTTGTTCGATAAAATAATCTCACGCTAAATGTCAACACCAGACAAGTCAATTCCATTTTTCATATCATACCAATATAGCCGTTCTCATTGAGTTTGCGTTTAACAAAACCAAGTAATTTTTTTAACAAATTTTGCAGTATCGATTAAAATAACAATTTGTACATCTGTAATATTACCTTGAATTCATTTTTATATTTTTTTCATGCATTTTTGTCTGCAATAGGAAATAAATGGAAAAAATAAAGAGTGAAATCTAATGTCCACCATCAATGAGAAAAATTTAATAACCTCACATAGTTAATACTATTTTATCGTTCAATTTACTAAATACTATATACAGCTGAAAGATAAAATTTAATGTACCAAGTAAAGACTAAAAAAGTAGTAAAGCCTCTGCTCTGTTTGAGCTCAATTTTTAGGGCTTCTTTAAGAGTTATAGCATTCGATTAAGTTCAAAACTTATTTCAATGTATACTGTATTTTATTTTACTGTGAATTAAATTTAAGAATTTTGTTTTATTGTTAATTAAATTTCAAAATTGTTTCCAAGTTTCTAGGCTTACATATGTGACATGCTCTCACCTTTTGAGAGATTTCCGTAAAAAAGAGGAATACATTTTGTTTTTAATGAGATTTGTTTGAAACAAAGATGACTGCGAAGCGACCACAAGTGTTGGAGAGCAAAGCGAGCAGGGGGTGAAGCTTCTTACCCTTAATATTATTGTAAAGAGTAATTTAGTGCTCGCCGGGCATGATGCTCGCCGGGCAGTCAGAATAACAAGCATCTTTCGGTATCAAAAACAGATGTTTAAGAACTCTTTTAAATATATGAATAGCAAAGACACCATTAAACGTATAGACTTTGTTTTCTTTCTCACATTTATTTTTTGAAAGTAAAATGTAATGGGATATTGATATAAATGCTAAAATAATAAATTTCATTCTGGTGATAAAAGAAAATTACGTTTTTCTAAAATTTTTTTTACTCACATTCAAAATTACGTAAAGTGCTTTTAAACGCATTCTTTCAATGTACATGAATTTTTTGCTTAAAATAAATTTTTTATTGGAAAACTAAAGCAGTAGCAGGGCCAGACGGCCGAGCAATTAAGATTGCACTACCAATGTCGGCGCCAGGTGGAGCGTTGCAATCCATTTCTGAAGTCCGAAGCAATTTTCCTGAAACATGGTTGTTTGAGCTCGATATGACTAAGTAAGTAGGCTATTAAAGCTTCCCTTCCTCTTACATTGGGTGTTCCAACATTTGACAGGATTTAAATTTTCTTATTTTTCAAAGTAAACATTTCAAATAAAAATGGAAGGTCTTCATATAGGACACATATGCTTTTTTTCATAAAAAAAATTTTCCATCCCATTTTTACAGACCTTTGTATGAATTATAATAGCAACATGACATATTTTTTTAATAATTAAAAACAATTTCTTACTAGTTCTTGGGGAGATAGAAGGACCCAATGGTCGTCCTATTATGCTTGCAGCAGCAGGGAGAAGTGGTCCTGCTGCATTGCAATCCATTTCAGAAGTTCGCAGCAATTTCCCGGAAACGTGGCTGTTTGAGCTTGATGTAACAAAGTAAGTAAGGATTAAACGCTTCAAGTCATTGTGAACTTGGTGTCCCAAAATTTAGACAGGGTTCACATTTTTAGTTTGGCATCTTATTTTTATGTAGATTGGCAAAGTTTTGACACTTCTTGAACGTTAACACTCTAATTATAAATAAAAAAATGACACCAAAAGTCTTAGTTGCATCTTTTTTTCATATAAGACTGGCAATCATATTTATTCTGGCTTGGTCTTTGATTGTTGCAATATAGGCAGATTTCTTTTTGATATTTAAAAATACTTTTTCAACTAGGATCTGTAGCACTGGGTAGCACTACTCACCGTCCTTTTTCTCTTGCGATTGCAGAGCCAGGTGGAGCTTTGCAATCTGTTTCAGAAGTTCGCAGCAATTTCCCTGAAGCTTGGCTATTTGAGTTTGATTCGACGAAGTAAGTAGGCTATCGAAACTTCACAATTCTGGGTGCTGGCTGCTACGAAAGTAAAACGGTATTTAAATTTGCCCTGTATGCTTTTGAATTGTGGCACACTTTCTCATACATAAAGAAGCATTAATCATTACACTTCTTAGAATTTTGCTGTTCAGAAAAATTCCTCTACTTCTCAGATTGTCACTCATCTCACTTGTATCAATATTTGCAATCACCGTCAATCTCTGGGTTTGCTCTTGATATTTCAAATTAGTTTTTAAAAGAATTTTTGCTTTTATTAGAAAAAGTGGAATTCGATGCTGCTCTCACTAAGCATAGGCCGTCAGGTCCAGCTGGTCCTTTGCAATCCGTTTTAAGGGTTCGCAGTGATTTCCCTGAAATTTGACTATTTGAGTTTGATACGACGAAGCAAGTATGCCATCGAAACTTTACATTTCTGGGTACTGGCTGCCCGAAAAATAAGGCGAGATTTAAATTTGTTTTATAAGCCTTTGAATTGTGGCACACTTTTTCATATATAAAGAAGCATTATGATTATGCTCTTCAGAAAAATCCTATTTTTTAGATTGTCACTCATCTCACTTGTATTAAAATCTACAATCGCCATTAATTTCTGAGTTTGTTCTTGATATTTAGAAATTAATATTTAAAAGTAATTTTCTTTTCATTAGAAGAAAAGGAATTCTTACTTTACTATCTGTTTCTAAGGTTCGCTGTAACTTCCCTGAAACTTGGCTGTTTGAACTAGACATGACAAAGTAAGTAGGTTTTGGAACTTCACATTTCTGGATGCTTTCTGCTCCAAAAGTAAGGTGGGATTTAAATTTGTTTTATAAGCCTTTGAATTGTGGCACACTTTTTCATCTATAAAGAAGCATTATGATTATGCACTTCAGAAAAATTCTTCGACTTTTTAGATTGTCACTCATCTCACTTTTATCAAGATCTACAATTGCCATCAATCTCTGGGTTTGTTCTTGATATTTAAAAATTAATATTTAAAAGCAATTTTGTTTTTATTAGAAGAATTCGATGCTGCTCCCATTAGGCGTAGGCCATCAAGTTCAGCTGGACCAGCTGGTCCTTTGCAATCTATTTCTGAGGTGCGCAGTAACTTCCCTGAAACTTGGCTATTTGAGCTAGATATGACAAAGTAAGTAGGCTATTAAGGCCAGCCTAATGTATCTGCCTACTGGGTGTCCCAAACAAAGCAAGACATGATTTAAATTTACAATACCAATAAATACTCTGCACTCCTACTTGAATTATCAAAACTTTTACTTACTTTGCCAGAAAATTAATATGCTAGCTAAAAATAGCATCCAGCAAATGTCTTATATGTCTTAAACCGACATGGGCTACTTTATTGAAAAACTTACTATCGCATTGCTAAACATTTTAGCTTTAATTTGCTGCTGCGTCGCGACATAGCGTTTTAAAGTTTCATTATTACTAATTCCTAGAAAGGAAATCCACGCAATCACAAAGATTTGGTACCATTTGTATCTACCATGAACGCAATATCAGCATAGTCATTTTTTCCTTAGTTTTACAGGGTGGTAGCTATTCGACTGTATGGAAAAAGAATTAATAACTTTTGAAACATTGGCGAGATTCAGTTAAAACTTGGCGATTTGGGCAGGTTGGGATTTCGTGTGAGTACGTGCAACTTTGTTGTTATTAATCATTTTTATGATAAAAAAAATCTAAACACAGCAGTTTTGAGTGCGCATCGATCGTCAACACTACCCTACCCTACCCTATTCCCCAGATTACAATCTTTGTGACTCAATTTTGTGGGGAAAATATTTAAAACAAAGTTTGCTCAAATAGTTCCAAAACCACTGATAAACTAAATTTTCTGTTCAAAAGGTCATCACATTTCCCAATCTTTACTTCAATGAATTTCACTGAATTCGATTTTTCGTCAGCCCCACGCGCTACCTTTTAATGGCAAGCCTATGAAACATGGCATAAACTTGATCGAACTTATGCAGTAACATTACTTGTACAATTTAAACATTTACTTTAAATGTTTAAACTCAGTTGTTTTCGAAATTTCTGATTTTAATACTTCATTTAATTGCTCGCTACTTCACCAATTGCTTCAGTTATTATTACCGAAAGGGAAAAAAAGGGGGAGAGGTGTGGTTTAGATCCTGAAATAATTTTGGGACACCCTTTATTATTAAAGTATAAGAATGTTGTATGTCATAATGTTTGTTACTAACGAGTGACATGTTGCATGAATTTGATGAGTGCTTATTTTTGTTTCCTCTGTTTTTTCCATACACGGATCTTAATTACGCAATATAGAACCTTTTGCATCCAATTTTAAATCTTTCTTATTAACTCTTACTCTACTGAATTACTACTTTTTTTGGTAGATTAGTTTATATGTGTTATGCTAATGCAGGGATACCACCTTTCTACGCCTTAGGCGAAAGTTCATCTTGTAGAAACTAAGTTTATGCTTTAATGTATGATATTTTGGTTTGTAAATTTGATTTAAAGTTATTTTCTACACCACTACACGAAAATGATTCGAAAGTTCATATGAAACGCTACTTTGTTGTGCATCTCTCATGCTGTGGTTTTTAAAACATGGACAGAATTATCAAAAATTCTGGATAACTTTAGTTTTTAAACGCCTACCACCCTATGAAATATTCTGAAAAAAAAACATAGTATTTGCCAATCCTGCTAATGCACAGTACGCAAAAAAGGACATCTTGAATAACTTTTGATCTAATGATCGGATTTTAACGCACAAAGACTCAATCTTAAAGGTTCGATGGCCTAACCTTAGAAATTAAAACGAACAAAATACAAAATTAGAACAAAATCGGTAGATTATTTCTTGTAAAGTTAAATTTTAAAAAAATGACTTCATTAAAAAAAAAATTGGATATCTCAGGAACTATCCGACCAATTGCATTCAATTTTTTTTTAACATACAAAATAACATTCCTTAAAATAATGTTAAAATTAATATATATATTGTTCTCGACTACCACTTATATTAATAAAGAATAAAAATAATAAAAATATGCAAAAATTATTTTTTATTGTATTAACTCTAGAGAAACAAATTTTTAATTACGTGCAAATTTTTTTGATTCGCTTTAAAGGTATGGCGAAAGTTTCTCGAAATATGGCGAAATACTTAAAAGTAAAATAACATTAAGGGGTGGAAATACCCGATCAAGTTATTGAGATCATATTTCTCTCTGATTTGGGCTCCCCCCCCCAACGCATTCTGTGGGTCAAGAATCCAAGTTCATTTTTCAGAGGGAGAGAGCGTTTTGTGTATGACTTGATAAGTTAAAACATCGTCTGCTCTAATTAATTAGGTAGGTAGGTAGGTACTTTACTTACGTCCCACTAGAGCTGCACAATGGGCAATTGGCGGCGGTCTGAAAAACGTCCCTGTGGATGATCTGAAGACATCTCATCGCTATTTTGATCCTCTGCAGAGGGAATGGCTCCCCTGCTTTGGTAGTCCGACGACCTGTTCGCGAAGTCGAGCACTTTACGGTCGAACAGTTTAGCGAGGACCGATACCGAGCATACCTGGTTCCAGCGCAGGTTGATCAAAGTGCTCATCCATCCGCTTACTGAACGCAGCCATCGATGATTGACTTTGGTGTTTTCCTGGGAACCGTGTCTTTACGATCAGTCCACCGCGGGACCTAATTAATTAGCATACTTAATGTTAGAATCTCAAACCATTAAGATTAGTTCTTAGTTCGTGAAAATCTGATCAGAGTTAGACAGGGTATTCGGTTGTAGATTTTTTTCTTTCACAAACATCAAATGGATTTGCAGTAAAAATGTAATACTCAGTTTTTATCACTTAAATTCTTTTTTTTTTCGTTGTCAGTTATCTTTTTTCTATACTTTTAAGTTTTTGTAACATTATTCTTTTAAAATTTGCAGTATAAAACCAACATTTCCTAGTAAAGAGAAAGCCTTGGAGCGGGTTACCATAAACGAGAAATCCAATCATGTAGTAATCCAAACGTTGAGATATCTTTATTTTCTTCCCACTGCTCAATTTTGCAGTCCGGACGTTGTGATATCTTTCTTATTTTTTACCCACTGTGCAGTTTATATTCGTTACGTCAGACTATTAAATTCATCAGTGCGGAGGTTTTCTCTCTTCTATGAGTTATTGATGATGCCCGGTGGCTGAGTGATAGCGCTCCGCGCTTTCGTGCCACAGGTCGTTGGTTCTATCTTCGAGTCGGGAAAGGTGGCCTCAGCCTTTCATCCCATCAGTGGTTCAATAAAATGTGAACCGAGCGTGCTTGTGAACTAAACACTGGGGAATTCCGTGTTCAGCTGCCCATCCAACCGGAACATCTGCTCTTGCACCCCAGCAAAACTGAGTAGGCCTTGGCCCTTTATTGGCTCTCGCGCCTCCGAGTGTAGAGTTTTAGGAGTTAATGATGAAACTTGCTTTAGCACGCTATTAATTCGCTGGACAAGCCACATATAACACGCCACATATAACACGCTGGACAAGCCACATATTATTAATTAATTATTATTATTAATTTCTATTAATTATTATTATTAATCATTATTAATTACTATTAATTCACTGGACATTTCTGTAAAAATTCTTTTCGGTAGCAGTATTTATTTCAAAATATACCCAACTTTTTCAATCTACATATACCTCATAACTGAATGTCATTACCCATTTTTTTCAGTGAGGATGGGACATTCCAAAAGACAGTAACACTGCCAGATACTATTACAGATTGGGTAGGAAGTGCTGTATGCATCAACACGGCTGATGGATTAGGCATATCGAACACAACAACTATCACCGGTTTCCAAGCATTTTTCATTGACTATACGTTACCCGTATCAGTCATCAGGGGAGAAGAATTTACTATGGTGGTGTCTATATCCAGTTATGCTAATGCTTCATTACCCGTGAGTTCTTTTAACAGTTATAGAGCAAAATCTCTCTCTCTCTCTCTCTCTCTCTCTCTCTCTATATATATATATATATATATATATATATATATAT